CCTGCTCCCATGCCCCCCCAGCCCTTGCTGGAGTACCTTTGCTCCATCAAAGACACTCAGAATAAAAGAGAGAATGAGTACATGGCTGAAGGATAGATTTTCCTGCAGGCAGTTTTTTCAGAACAGGGATGATTAGCACAGCTACTGCTGCTAGGAGTTCCTGTTTCCCTTAGTTCCCAGTCTGTCTGTAAGTGTTCTCTCCCTGCCTTCTCACTACAGCTGTCCTACAAAACAGCTCAGCTACCTCCCCCTACCCTCTCCCAGGTGCTGTTGCATACATGAGTCCTCTCTGCTCCTCAAGCATGCTTCATGCAGACCCAGCTATGAGGAACAAGGCTAAGGAGAGCAGAAACTTGGACTGCCACCACTATACCTCAGAAAGCCCCTGCCCCATGCCAGGACTTATAACACACCATGAATCTCGCACAAATCCCAGAAAATCCCACCCACTCTGATCTGCCTAGAACAATAGGTGAGGGAAACAGCACAATGGGATGGTGCTATGGACAGTTTCTAGGCTCCAAAAAGAATTTAGATTGCATAGATAGAAAGCAGAGCTAGAAATCACATCACATACTGGGACACTACAACTGCTGATTAACACAAAGCAGCTGTTCTGCTTCATTCTTTAGTCAGGAGACAGTATAGGGCTGCAAGCAAAGCAGAACTTTGTGTCTGGATCCAAAACTCATTTTAGAAATGAGACATACCTGTCCCTTCACCTGTAAATCTATAGGAAGAAGACAGTTATCCCTTCTGTCTCTGGAAGTTAACTGATTTAATTTTCATCTTCCCCTTTTGTCTCTCTGAGATGATCCTTTGGTTGCCCAGAGGGCTGTCCTTTTCTGGAATTTTCTCTTCTCTTTTTCTTCCCTTCCATACATAGGCACATAAACACTCAGATGCTTCTGCTATAGTTACCCGAGTCTTGGAGCTCAGGCTATGGCAGGGCTTATCAGACAAACAGGAAAGATAAGAGATTCAGCTATGGGGACCTTGTGCAGCCTGCCAAAAATTAATGTAACAGCAACAGACCAGCATGGCAGGAGGTGTCAGCAGTGGCTGCAAGACTTGAGAGACAGGTGAATATTACCTGTAAATCTCAAGTGGTCCCAGCTGGAGGCCAGCTCTGAAATCTCAACTACTGGTCTCCATTAGAGACAGGACTTCATGCTTCCATTTCACATTCCACTTGGATTTCACATTTCTAGGAAAAGATGTGTTAATTTGCTGTGTCCAGACATATTTTTTATACTCCTCCACATGAGCATTCAGTCTCTATTCCAGATCTGAGATCCCCTTGCAGAGTTCTTTGTGGCTCTTGAGATGATGGAGATATGACTTTTATTTTACCAGTTCTCTTAGTCATCACTTGAATGCATTCTTATATCCACCTGATAACCACAAATTTGTCACTGGCTACAGACATGTTGGTGAGAAATAGTGAACACATACCTAGGTTTGTATCTGTGTGAGGTCATTACATCTGATAGATTCTGTTTGAGGGACTTCAGGCATCTCACTTCAGCCTGTGAGATAATGCACAGGAAAAAGCAGCAGCACAATGACACAGCCAGGCTGAACTGTGGCATTTCCCGCTGTTTAGCAGTTAATGTCAGCCTTTGTGTTTGATTTCCCTTGGATTTATTGTTTGTTTGTGATTTTCTGTTGAGGATAACCTTTCAAAAGCCTAATCCCTTCTGCTTTGAAGCTCTGCTGCTCAAATAATAATTACACAGACACCATGAAATGTTGTTGGTGTTTGACTCTACATTAGTCCAATTCTATCACTTTATTCTACTCCCCTGTAACAAAGCTGCCTTCAAAGTAATATATAAGTGAATTGTGAATAACATCTTTCATTACTCCCTGGAATAGCTTTTTTTAAAATTAAATGCTATCCAGTTTGCAATTGGTTTTGGGTTCAGGGAGTTTGGTTTACACTATGCAAGCATAGACTATTTCTTTCAAAATAGCAGCTTTTTTCCCCCTTAATAACATGATTTCCAAATGCTCATATTTATACCCACTAAAATCAATTTGCAAAACAATACAGTGCCCTGCAGTCCAGGAAGGGCTATTTCTGTATCAATTCCAATCTTTAATTTTTGGCTTTTCTTTTTCTTCAAAATGAGGTACCTTTTCCATTGTAAATTTGCAGTCTTTGCTCCATCCAGTACCACTGGCTGAGCAAATGTTCCTAAATCCTTTCAAAGGCAATCTTTCCATGGGAAACTTCATAGCATTTTAAAAATATTTTCTTTTAATAGCAATTATTAAGGAGTATTTTTGGCTTCAATTTGTTTTTCCTGTATAGATCATATTTTCATGTGATCTACAGAAGAAAAACAAATTGAAGCCAAAAATCTTAGTTTGTTTTCTCACTTTTTCTTTTAGAATAATCCTCCCTCAATCCACAGTCACATCCAGTGCTATGTAAAATCAAAGGCACTTACACCAGTTTAGGGATATCTTGATTTGGTTTGTGGATGAGTTTTGACAAAAAAACCTTTACAGAAATTGAAAGCATTGTACTGCAACGGTTTCTACATTTCAAGCAAACATTTCAAGTTCACTAAGCCCTCTTAAAATGTGCCTTAATTACACAAGAGAGTTGAACATTTGTTGACGTTAGTGCTTCCTCACAAGTTATCTATCAAATAAATAATCTTTTCCCAGGTTTTACTTTCAATTCATATGCCTTAATCAATTCTGATATTTTCCAATCAGTTCTACAATACAACAAAACAATGAATTATCAATGTTTGGATGAATTCTCAAATATTCTGGTACTAAAGTCCGTGTTCAAAATTACTTAACTATTTAGCACACTTGTTAAAATTAAAAACTAATCATGAATAATATAAACAAGGGATAGACAACTATTATACTTCCATGAAAGATGAGCAATGCATAGTTAGATCCAGCTGAATGAATGAATGAAAACAAGAGGGGGTAAAAAAAGATTGTTGGAGGAGTGGTGCATTTTATCTGCTCTTGCAAATTATTATATGCTTGCATGAGATCTGTCTTCCCAAATTTTCGCAACGTGAAAAGTCCAGAAATATAAAAGGCAGGACATTTAATCCAATGGATCATGTTACCTTTGTTTAGGGGCATTGGTCCTGAAGCCATTTTCTCATAAACAAGTCCCCTGGAAATAAATCTACAAGAAAAAGCATGTTCCCTATACCAGCATTCAGTAAGGAGGCTTTAAGAGACAAAATGCTACTGTTAAGACTAGCTATCAATTAATCAAGGACTTGTTGGAAATTTGATTCAAAAGGATGTGACATATTCAATTGGCTATCTTGGTAAGTTTGATCATATATTTTTTCTGCATGCGCATGGTGTATTTCTGCACTTTTTTAAATTATGTATTTATTGTCTTTGCAAATATTTTACTGCAGAGAAATTCTAGCCACAAAAGGAACATAGAAATACCCAAAAATAAATATGTAAATTTTTACTTCTTTAAAATAAAGCTTGCTAAACTGAAAAGCAAAAAATGGTCCTATTTTTAAGACTTCCACAAAAGATGTCTTTAAACTTTTCTGCTTGTGGAAGAGATCACTGTTCACATGAATATCTGGAAACTGCATGCCAGCTTGCAAAATTCTGCCTGGAGAAGAGAGGATTACCAAGAAAAAATAATAAAAAAAAATTTAAAAAAAACCAGTGAGAATGATTGCCAAACAACAATCAATGAGATGTGATTACACATCACAAAAATAAATGTCTTGAAATATTAAAAAGCAATAACAGCAAATCTCAGAGCAATGGTATGCAATATCTTCTTTGAAAAGAGGAAAATAGTAACAGTTTTTCTTTATCATTCTGCAGCATATTAAACGAGATTTTTAATAAGCATATGTGTTAATTAGTTCTTATCCACTAGAGAGAAATTAATAGATGCTAATATATTTGTGGCTGTTCTCTAGAGTTGTGAAAGAAGCCATTTCTATCATGTAGATATGCTTTTCTCTCTGTTAGAATCTGAATGATCATCTTCTGAAGGTTTTGGAAAAAGCAATGCTTTGACTGGCAGACTTGATAAATTAACTTTTTCTAATCACTTTGTAAATCAATCTGATGGAACTATATAATTAGATTTTAAAAAGGATATTCAATGTGTGATATTCAATAATTCAAGAAATTCAACATAGGTTTGAATAAACTAATTCTAATAAATGACAGTTCCCCAAATAAGCTAGCAATTATGAACATATTTAAGATTCTACTCAGCAAAGAAGTTAAAGAGGTTGAATTCATAATCTTATTACTTGAAATGTCAGTCCAGTTTTAGTAAGACTAAACATGAAAATATGTTAAAGCTTCATGAATCAAAGAACCTAAGACTTTTTACTGATGAATCAACAGATAAGTTACTAATATAAATAAATTTCTTCATTATTTGATTACAACATATACATCATGTTTACTACAAAGTCCTTTTAGGCTGAAAAGAAAGCAAGAGTGATGAGACATACCTTACTTAAGTATTAAATTTGTATTTGCTTAAGAATTCAGCAAGAAATTAGTACTTGTACACAAAGAATTCTGCAGCAAGTCTGAGAGCAAGTCACTTCATTCTTATCCCACCTACAGCAGCGCTACAATCCCATTTATCGATGGGGGAGTGGCAGCCGGAAATCAGGCGGCGGCAGTGCCAGAGGAGCAGAGTTGCTGAACTCAGTTACTCTTCACCATCTAATTAGTTCTACTGACTGATGCTGACACTGCTGGCACACTCCAAGTTAGCAGCTGTTTAATCAGCTTGCCAAAATTGGGTCCTGAACCTCTCAAAACCTGCATTCGAGCAGGATTCAATGCAAAGGTAATCATTTCTCTGCTAGCACACATATCTGCCTTGTTTTGTTTGGATATCTTTTCCATTTGCATATTTTCCCATTTAAAAATTCATGTGGCAAGTTTGTAAGGACTGTTTCTGATCATGTTTCCTAGGTACACATAGATATAAATCTTCATGCAAATTAAGAATGCAACAACAAAGCTCTGATTATTCCCCAGACCTGGTCAAAGAAACCTGCACCAGCGTGGAACCTCCAGACAGGGAAGCCGATCTCCATAAGGAAAACGCTGCTTGGTCTGAAACCAGCCGCCCAGAAGATGTCTTCAGCTCCTCTGAGATGCAGACAGTACCAGTTTGTATGGACACCACCTCGCCTCCTGGGGACTACATTCTCCAACAAGGTTACACAGAGTCTTCACTTCTGAGGCTTCCTGCAGAGGAGTGCAATGGGATCCACCATGCGTCTTTCCAGTTCGACCGCCACGCTCGGGCCAGAATTTCCACTTCTCCAACTTTAAGGCGCCTCAGGATGGCCTCTGCCTCACAAGCACTGTCATTTCAGGACTGTTCTGACACAGCTCAGCTGGGAAATCAAAAGGAATACACTGGCTCTCTCCACCACATTTGTAAGAGTCCGCCTCGGTGCGTTACAATTTCTTCATTATCGCTGCCTTCTTGTGTCCATGCAAAATTACTGTCATCCAAAGCCAAGTCTGAGAGAACTACAGCAGTTCCAGAGTCTGACCTACTCAGATCAAAGCTTCCCAGCAAAGAGAATCCTCTCAGCAATGACAGTCCCAATGAGCCACCCAGAAACTCTTGGAGAGCCAACTCGGCTACACTTCCTACGAGACTACCCCGCCCGAGCCCTACACTGTGGGCAGGCGTCCAGGTAAGAGGAACAGGAGGATCTAACCTCTTTTTCAGTCTTTCATATTCAGTGTCAGTCCATCATGAACCAATGCACAAACAAAACCCCAGTTCTTAACCTGAACTGCATGTTGGGTCGTGATCCTCTAATACAGCAGTCCAGCTTCTACACTTGACAGGAAGGGAGATTTTTCTTTCCAGATCAGTAAGAGACAGCAGCTCCAGCCTTTCCTCATGGTGACCAGGCTAGCTTAGTCCACTCCCGTACAGGGCCACTCTTTCCCATCTCTGCCCATTCATTCTGGTGGGCCAGGGTGGTGGATATGGAAGAATAAGACTAAGTAATTGATCCTGTTTAGGACTGGTTTTTAGAAGGCTATTTTCTTTCAACCCTTTACTTTAGCTCTTTAACCCTTCAGCAGGATTATTCCTAAGACAGGGAAGTTTCCTGTCTGTTTTACTGAATGGCATTACTAACCCTAATAAAACCAAGAATTAAGTTGGTTGAGTCAAATTTAAGGTCTGCTGCTACCAAAGGAAGAGGTACAATTCCCTTTATTTATTTCAGCTTACCTAGCTCTGCCACTCAGTTGCCACCCTCCCTTTTTATGTCCAGCTCCATAAACAAAGAAGCAATTGTGCAATGTCCTCTGAAAAAAAAAAAAAACCCTGGCCCAGTGAGTGTCAGAATCAGTAAAGAGAAATAAGCAAGGGAGGAGCCAGCCCTGCATCTTTCAAGGGCAGGAAACTACAATTAAATTCTCCACAAGGACAAAAGGAGAGGCTTTCTGTACAAGCTAGGTGTACTATGGATCTGCTCTCAAAGACCTTCCCCTGTGTGCAGAGGCACACATGCTCAGCTCTGTCCTTATGCAAAGCACCTACACACACAGTTTCCTGAGGGTGGATGGTGTCAAATAGGTGTAGAGTTCTTCACTAGCCATTAGCTTTGCACTATAAACCAAAAGCTATTTTTCTCCTCCCCCCACCCCCTTCAAATATAGAAAACATTCTGGATATCAAATCAGTTCTCCTTGCTCCACAACAGTGAAATTAATTAGCCTATGCCCAAGCCTATTACACTATTATTAGTACATTTCCCTTTACAAATGAACTCCTTTTTCACAAAAAGTCAGATTGCTTGCTTGCTTTCTCACCAACTAACTAAGAATATTCACTTTGTTTCAGGAGAGTGGACTGCCCATGCAAAGGTATGCATATATTTATTTTATCTGATTCTAAGCTTGACTCTCCTACATTTTTAATGAATTTGCTTCACTCTAGGACAAAACTGAACATTGAGTCATATATACATAACTCAACCTTAGTTTGTAGATTTGCTATGTGAAATGCTTGTCACCAGCTCACTAAACTTTCTAATGAGATTTTCTTTCAAAGGTGGCTCTCTCCCTAGCATGTTTAGCTACATTTCACACAATATTTCATCCGGATCATTGGGGAGCTTTGCACCTGGAACCAACTGCCAAAAGGGCCGATCGCTTGGCTTAGCAGGGTCAAACTTCAGCTTGAGGAATGTGAAATATCTCATAATCTTGAGTGACATTCTTCAAAAGTTTGTAGAAGGGAAAAGGGAGCAAAGGAGGTAGGAGAACAGCTCAATATTGTTCTTATACATAAGCTAAGAAGATCTAGGACTGCTGCTGGAGAGGGGGATTATTAATCCTACAAACTAAGAAGAGTACATAGAATATGTGGATTTTATAAATTAGGGCAGACAAGACAGAGCGTTGCATACCATATACCTGTGCAGTGAACTGTGTCAAGGTCTTCTAAACAATTATCATAAAGTAAAAGTGCTATTAGAAATTATTTTTATTAAGATATATTTCCTTAAGATGTTCAAATGCTTACAGAAGGGAAGGGAAGTTTTATTTTCTCCCCACACAACAAGGAAGCAGTAGATAGTTCCTCTATTAATACTGACCCCTCTCTCATTGATGAAGTAGTGCTCACTTTACTGCATGGTCCCCTCAAGGATATTTGAGACTGGGCGGTTTGGAGCAGACTGATAAAGTCTAGGAGTCCTTACACAATGCAGTTCCCTAGAGGAGATTCAAGAGATGTGTGCATGCCTTTGAAATTACATGTTCACTAAAGAAGAGACCACCTGGATATTCTGAACTGGTGCAATTTCCAACCCACCCTTTAGCATTTTGAATTTACAATGGAGATGGAGAGAGAAGGGGAGGGAAATACCTTTTTTATCTGGATGTGAAAACAAGTTAATCTACACTTTTTGTGGGAAAAGTCTGGTCTGATCCAACTCAAACAAGGAATACATAAACATATCTCACTGTCACCATGAAGATTTTTGTGATATGTAACAAACTTCAGAGGGGAAATTGAAGATACTGAAACCATCTACCAATGGTTTAATAGGAGAACACTGAACATTTAGTGTACATACCTTCTCTTGGTGCTGTTTGCCTACAGTGGCTTCAGGAAGGAAGTAAATATATGCCAGCTAGGGTACTGGCTTTGGACTTCTATCCAGACGCCTTTTAAAATCAAGAAACCACAACCCAAGGAAACAAACCAAGATTTTTCCATAGGAATCAGCTGGAAAAACTGTCAAAAGGTGGTTGGGATGATGTATTATGAATTCTATCTGGATAAATATTAGAATGTGCAAAAATGTATTTTAAAATTCACCAGTTTCGCTTTAAACACTTTTTGTCAAATCTAATTTGGTCCAAGGTCTGGGTTAAGCCTGTGTTGAGCTCCTCCTTCATTAAGATCATTAGTCTAACTTCTTAACAGCTAATCCCTTCTTATCACAGCCAGCAAAAACTGTTCACATGTCAGATTATTTTCTCCATCTAGAAGCACATTAGGACAGTTGGCACCTCTTCTCCGAGACTGACTTGCATATTGTCCTGGGTAAAATCATGCCTTTGTCATTCAGTTTTAATGAACATCTCTTCTCCACACTGCCAAGCTGTACTTTCAAAAAACATCTTTAATGCACTCATTTTGAACAGCCTTCTCCCACACAGTCCTCAGTCAAGAATGCCAGCACATCCCTGTCAGCATGGCAACTTGCTGAGCTGATGCTGTTTATAAAGAATCATCCAAAATAAATAAACAAAAAGGGCAAGAGGGGCAGCACAGATAGATATATATATATGTGGTGGAGAGAAGGTGAGATGCCAAACAAACACTGCCATGGAAGAAAACATTGATAAACAAAACCTCAAGTTTACTCTGATCTCCTTTTCTCCTTGCACTATTCAGCATTATCAGAGGCTGGGTGGAAAACTGCACTGCACTATTTCCTACAGCAAATCAGCTAATGAAGAATCTTCACAGTAACTGCCAAGACAGCTCATATTAAATGCCTTGAAGGAGCTGGGCTCATCTATCTTAAAATACTCCCATTCCTCTTTTAGTGACTCACACAGCTGTAAAGCGTCACAGCATCACAGAATCACAGAGTGGGTAAGGTTGGGAAGGACCACAGTGGCTTCTCTGTTACAGCCTCTCTGCTCAAGCAGGGTCATCCTGGAGCAGATTGCACAGGATGGCAACAATCATACTAAACCTAACTTCTCATGCAATCACAGAAATAGTTTACTTTTGGCAATAGGTCATGTTCCATGCTAACTTTTTGAATCAGGGAGTCCAAACACCCTCCCTGAGCAGCTTGGGAAAGTGTGTCACTGCCTGGCAATTTTCTCAGTACTGTGAGCACCCTACAATATTTACCTCAGTAAATATTATCCATAAATTATACTATAAAATTATAAATTATATTATAAAAAATCCTCTGTTGCTTTTATTCACATCTAGTAGATAGTCCTTTAAGTAATATATCTGCTGCTTAAGTGAGGTGATCTGTATAGATGTCTGTTCCCTGGGATAGCTAGCTAGGCTAAGATTAGGGACATATGAAGACACTTCCTGTGGCTTAGAAATAAATACATACTCAGGATATTTATTTTTCCAGACCATGATCTGCTTCAATGTCTTTAATAATTTTCCATAACTTTCCCATCTAAATCCATGACATAATCATGCTTTAAAAAAAAAAAAAGGGGATTTTAAGAATGGGGAGATGTCATCTGTAATAATTCAAATGCCTGAGCTTGTCCCTAAAGCATAAGCATTTCTTTCATTCCGTCACTGCAGTCCTCTGCCCTCAGGAAGTGAAACAAGCAAAAAATAAAGAAAAAGGCAAAGCTACAGAGCCTGAAGGCATGAGAAGATGCTAAGATATTGCAGACTTAAAACCTAGTAAATTTAACTACGCAGAACTTCAGTAACTTAATTTCTCAAGGAAAAAAAAAACCAAAAAACAGCAGAAGCATCTGATGTATGTAATACATCTTCAGGCTTCAGGGTCAGGGCAGGAAACCAGATACCTGTGCTTCCATCTCTGAAGCATGACTATGTAGTTTAGACAGGTAAGCCATTAAGCAGCCCTGGCACATGAGATTGCTAAGGTAAATTGTAGACAGACACCCCAGTGGCCCTGCCATACCCCCACATTTCACAGGCTCATGTGTGAAGAGCTTGTTTAGTGATATGTGTGCCTGAAGTTCAAGGCCTTTTGGATCTGGATACATAATGCCATTTAATTCAGTTATACTGACTCTGTGCTTCCATTATTAGTCTTCATAAGCCACTAGCCTGCAGCTTCAAATATATTGTGAAAATAGTAGTAGTCTAGATTCTTTAAAAATCAATAATACACTGGCAAAATTTTACTGTGAAGCCAACCTGAAGTAAACCTCCTGAATTTCCTGGTACAGTAATAACACCTTTGAGGATTATCCTTGTACTATATTGCAGCACCTGACTTGTACAATAGCCCAGCTGCCCAAAAGATTGCACCATGGAATCACTAGAGGGTTCAGTGGCATCTTAATACAATCATTACCAACACTGAAGAGTTGCATTGGGTAGCACTCAGTGCACATCTCAGGAAGGCACTCCTCTCCCTTGCAGTGGTATGGGCTTGTAGACAGCCAGGGAACAGACCCCACACCCATTAAAGCTCTCAACCACATACTGAGGGTCCAATTTCATGAGAAACCACAGAGTTTCATTGTAAACTCTAAAGCCAAATAAATAAATTCCATGATCTCCATTCAGTAGGACTAGCAGAGAAACTTCCAAAGAACTCCTGCATTTCACACTGTAACCTCCTCAAGATGTAGTTTTTAAGCCCTTATAGGTCCATGGCTCAAGTGTTAAAGTCCCATGCCTGGCCCATCTGATAGACTGCAGACCTCTCTCTTGCTAGGAGCAGCTCTCATCTAGACCATTCAATTGCTTAGTTAAGGCAATTGCAAGCAGTATCACTGTCAGGTCATAAAAAAGGCACAATCTCCTTGTCTTACCATACATATCAAATCCCAGTTCTCCACCTCAGAGCTCATCTGTCAGATGATAAGCTGTCAAGTAACTATTCATAGACTTAAAGGAAAAAATATACCTGCCAGGTTTCACACCAAGTGTGGCAAGTGGCTAGAAATTCACAGTTAGAGAACTGCCTAGACAAAAAAAGATCTCAGTAAGAATCATGCTTAACTGACCAAAAATACCATGCACAATAAGTGGTGACTGAAAAATAGAATTTATATAAATGTGCAATGTACTTTGTGCCTCCTCCCTCAGCTACTAAGTTACTGACCCTTTGAGCCCTAATGCAGCATTCATGTACTGAAGGCAGCACAGCAGCAGCTGCAGACAGCAGTCCCTCTGCAGCACATGCTAACACAATTCATTAGGTATCACTGTGATAGTAGCAAAATAGAAAAGGTTTTTAACATGCACCAACAGTTTCTGTATGTGAATGCAAGCAGCCTGTGGCACAAACACGCTGCTGGATACAGAATGTCTGTGCCACTTTTCTTCATGGATCTAGATTCTGGACAATGCTCTCCATTAGGAACAACAATAGTTGGAAAGAGACATTTTTCGATCAGTAGGACCACTGAGTCATGTTACATTCAAAATATCTGAAATAGCAGGAAAAAATGCCAAAAATACTAACAAAGAAAATAGTACAAACTAGCCAAAAGGTTAAAAAATTTTTTCAAAATCCAACATTTTAACTGTTTCACTAGTGTGCTGTCTTTTCTTGAAATCACCTGAGCTACAGGAAGGCTAAAAGTAACAAGACACATATCAGCTAAAAATAGTATTTAATTGCTCCATTAAACTCCACTGCCAAAACATAGATTCTAAAATCCCCACTCACTTTTTGTCTAACGTCAGGAGAAACCAGGAATTTTAAATATTTAAATGCTCTATCTACTTATTATCTGAAGCACACCATGACCATAAGAACCTTGATCTCAGCAACAATGTGGAGTTTGAAACTCAAGTAGGTATTTGCTGTCACTGAAATTCTCTGCTCATTGTTCTTTCAGCACATGATGTCATAGCTGCTGGGCTTTGGTTTTTTAGCTGATTCCCCCCTGGCTCAGCAGGAGTTCCCTGCAGCCTCCATGGACACAGATGCCATTTGCTGTTGTTGTGTCCCACAGACCGGCCGAGCGCAGGCGCAGCTCCCTGGTGGTGAGCCTGCCGGGCCTCGAGGTGTTCCCTGGAGACCTGCTGGTGTCAGACAGTGCCATGGACTACCTGCCCTGCTCATCCTTCCTGCTCACTGCAGGTCAGACACAGCGGGGATTGCTCCTCCAAGCCCAGAAAAGTGGGACTGGAACACGTGTGCACATGGGATGGGAGGGAGGATGAAGTGTGCAATATGCTATGAGAACATGAGGTGGTGCAGCCTCTGTGGGGGATCCTGTTACCCCACACCAAACTAACTTCATTGCCAGTTTTAAAATTCCTCTTTTCTTTTTTTTTCCCTGTTTTTACTGTTGAATGCAAAATTCAAGTAGATGAGAGGGTAGGACACAGATCACATTGCTCCTCCACAGGCTAGAAGCTACCAGAGCTCAGGCCAGGATCTCCATCTGGAAGCAGCTGAGGTACAATTTCCTACCTCCACAGCTTCAAGCAAAGAGAAGAGCAGCCCATGCTGCCCTTTGCAGTGGTGTTCTGATCACAAGGGCAGCAAACCCAACTTATGGCCAGAGGTTGCTCACAAGACATTCCAAAACTGAAATGCAGACCTGCTAGCAATTTCCACAAATAGCTATTGTAGAATACAGTATGGTGTGATTGAAGGAGATCCTGGTGGCCAGAGATCAAAAGTTTCTCAACAAGCAAGTCAGCCAAGGTCACAACCAGCATTTTCATTACAGCAAATAAGCCAGCCATTCTAAGACCTTCAAAATACAGAAACACAAAGTTTGGACTGTGATTCCCTGACACACACCTGAAGATGGGTGCCACATAAAGAAAACCTTTTCAGATTTCTTGCTGGACACAGTAGTTCCTCACAAGTCACCAGTACACTTCTAAATCTAGATCCCCACCTTTCCCTCTGCCTCACCAGGGACCACAAATCAAACTCTGCCTCACTGTGCCAGCCCCATGACAGATCTGAGAATTCGGGCTCATAGGATTATTTATTCACTGGAGACTTAAATACCTGCATAACTCCAACTTATCATGATGAGAAGACGTAGACTAATTCTTGCTTTAAAACAACATCTTCAAAAATTTACTTGAGTTATGATGGTTTTCCCAGGTAAAGAATCACATAATGATCACAGCAATCACACAGTGATCACCTGCAACAAGTAGGAGCATTCAGCACCATCCAAGATCCCACCACAGACAGTCATAGTTCTTGCTGGGAGGAACCCAACAAGTTTATTGGGTTTTAAGTCTGGTGCACAAACTCTCTAAACTCAAGTATTAAATATGAGCCAAGTAGAGTATAGTCTATCAAGCTGCATATATAAAAAATAGTTTTCTTTTTTATCTACTTGTTTCCTTATTGATAACATTTGTTTTACCCATTAGAGTCCAAAAAGTCAAGGTGGCCATTTGCCAAAAGAGGAGTCGTGAGTATTTTTTACCATTTTGTTTTTCCTTGCGCTGACTTGCCTTTTCCCACAACTAACCTGGGTACCAGTAGCTTCTTTACTTTCTTGCCCTTGGAGAAAGGCAGCCAGCAGGTGAGCTGAGCTCAGAGGTGTCTCAGCCCTCCCTGGGACTGCCTGCACATTAACCTGCAATGAAGACTGGGTGGCTCCAGTGCAGCCATTGCATGAGATGCACATGAAGACACAGTCAGAGCCACGGCTTCCCTTCCCAGTGGGGGGGTGGCAGGAGAGGTGTTCTTGGCACAAGCACAGCTCGGTGAATTTTTCCTTGTCTTTTCCATTTATGAAAACTTTTACTTACTAAGGTATCTGAATTTCCTTTCTATGTACTGTTCAGCATTCAAAAATTATTTACAAATGTCTTGACAACTTTTTCTCCCTAATCATGTAATTAAGAACAGCCCCTTCTCAGTACTTTTTGAATTTTATCAAAGAATAGTTTGTGCATACAGAACCAATGCAAGTACTCAGGTTTATATGTACAAGAACTCCCTCTTCATTTGAGAGTAGTTGCATAGCATTTGAAGGAGCTTGACCTAAACCTGAGCATTCTTAAATTCAATAAAATATTTTAAATCTGCAATAAAAAACATCTGATATTTAGACAAAAGTGATTTCTAAGACTATTAAATGCCATAAAATTTAATTCATGAAGATTCGTTTGCTGTTACACTGGGTTCAGTGTGCATATATGTTAACTGCATTATATTTTCTGCCCCATTTCAATCTATCTTTCAAAATTAGGGGCTGAACTTAAACATTAAGTTTCAAATATTATAATCAAAGACATATTTCAAAATTGGCATGAGTTTAGTGCCTAAAGTTCAGACAATGGAAATCCATGAAGTGGGAATATACTGTTCCAGAGAACAGATAAAACTTAGGCAAACACCTTAAAAGTCTGTGCCCACAGCACTAAATTAGAGTTGATAAAGAATGTTTAAATTTTTTACAAGGCCTGAATGAATAAAGCAGAAACAACAGCATTTTTTTTTATTTCATGGTCCTTCACACAAACTTGTGCTGTTCTTTTAACTTTCTGAAAGCTCATTTTACAGACACAACTCTGCAGATGACCAAGGGACCTTTTTCAATGTGTAGCTCAAAAAATTAAAAATAAAAGAATAAACACATAAAGTTGTACATCTATGACGGGATTGCAAATTTGAATCTGTTGTCCCCTATCTCTGACAATGCTAAGGGAAGCAAAACATTCCATTTGTTCCGTCTTCCAAGAGTAGCCCTTTGCCTGTTACCAATGTCTTACACATCCAAACCTGAGGCATTTGCACACCCCACCCACAGCTACAAAGAAACCTGCCATCACTGCCTTGTCTCTGTGTAGAAGAGCCTGGAAATACAGAGAAATCACTCATTTGAGGGCAAACTCCTTAAGGATTAGGGCAAGAGGGGTAAACTTCTAAACAGTCTTTAAAACACTGTATGAATCAGGGGGTTTCTTGTCATTCCACAGGGTAAAGACAAACAGAAGCAAGCATCTGATCTGGAAAGTTGTCTTTCTACTGTTAAGATCACAGACTGCTGCCCAGATGAGTTTTTCTGCTTTAAGGTATCAAAATGCTCAGTATACTCTATCAAGGATACTCAAGGATGGAAGGAGCAATTCTGTGTTCTTTATAAGATAACATTTTTCAGTTCATCAATCTGGATATGAGACCTTTCTGTCAAATTAATGCAGAAGTATATGGTATATTTTTGTCAAAATGACAAATGGAGTGGCAAGTGGGAAACTGAGGGTCATTGTAGATTAGCAAGGGACCTCGAAATCACCTGGATTTTGCCAAGGATCCAGACTGCCCTAGATCAGGGAAGTATCCTCTTCAGTAAAACATCTCAAGGCAACTCTCTCAGCAGTACCTACAGGTGCTAGAAAAGCAGAGGAAAGAATCTACAGCATCAGAGAGATGCCAAACGGGACACAGCCACCCCATTGCTGTGTTCAGAGGCAGCCACCTGCAGGTCAGTGCCAACACCAAGGTTTGGCTCCAGACAAACAAGGCTTCTGGCCCCTAACCACATAACACCATCCCCTCTCTGACCAAACCTTTTGCTTCTCACAGCAGGCTGTTCCCTACAGCTCCCCACACAACATTGCTGAGGGCTTCTGCCAGTGCCTAATTTGTATATGGACATCTGACTTTGGAGCAGGCCCATAATGTGATCATGGCCACCACAATTTCCAAGTGACTATAAAGACCAATTCCTTTGGTACCTTGATTTTATCATCCAGAAAATAAGAAGATATCATCCACCTAAGAGCAGCACAACAGATCACATTCCTTAGCATTTGCAAGCTGCCCACTAATTGATACAACATACCTAAACATAAAGTATCACATTGTGTTGCTTTCAACTTCAGTGAGTTTATATTGTAAGCATTTTAGAGGAGAATGGTGGGGTTTAAAATATTTTAATGGAACTTTTAAGCCTTCAGAAGAAAAATAGCTAATACTGGTAGATGAAATTTACACAGTCAATAGGATATAGGTTCCTTTCATAATGCCTGAAGCAACAATTTTTTCTTTCTTCTTCAATCCATAGAGTAAATCTTGGCATGAATTTCTAAATGAGCAACAGACTGAGCAGAAAGATGTCAAGAGCCAGTTAGAAGTGAAAAAAGAAGCAGCAGTGTGGGAACTTTTCACAAGTGAATGCACTTACTTTCTGGATCATTTGCTGGTTCTCAAGATGGTAATGTCAGATTTCACTTTGCAAAAATAATGAAACATTATTTGTTCTGCTGTGATGGACACAAAGCCTCCTCAAACTTCTCATTAGAGGTCTGGTGGGGGAATGACTTAAGCACCTGCTTTTCCTCCCACCTTGCCTGCTCATCCTGTTTCCATAGCTCCCTTTTCTGACTTTATGATGGTATCTCTTTTAACATGACTTTTGAGTGATGCAATCTAATGCTTTGCAATTACCATCTGACTGCAGAGCCTTCCAGGATATTCAACTGATATTCCATTCTCTAGCAAACACTGCACTGAAGCCATGATGCAAACACTTATTTCTGTACTGGACTATTCCAATTGCTAATGTTTTTTATTGCTAATAACGTTATTGCTAATGTTATTGTAATATTATATTTGTCATTTAACTTCATATAGATCTGGGGTTAGATTATCCTGACTGGAGCATGAAAACCTCAGAATTCAGCAGACCTGTAATTTTAATATTACATGAAAACAAGTATACTGAAAACAACTCCACTCCCAAAAACTCTGTATTACCTCCAATTGAGTGAATTTTAAGAGTTTAAATATGGACAGCAATATTACAGACTGTTACAAGAATAGCTGCACTATTTATATTCACCACACAGCAAAAGTGAATGTATCCATTCAAAAGGAGGGAAGCTTCCACAAACATTTTCTTATAAAGTTTCTCTTACTTGGCACAGACAATTCCTGATTTCTTATTAAGTCAAAGAAAAAAGATTTGTAAATCATTTTCCATGTTACTGGGAAGTTATCCTGGATAATACAATAACTACTGCAAAGTAAAGGAAATAAATAGAGGAGTGGGCTGAATTTCTCCTTGGTGGGGCAGAACAGGAAGGGACAGAAAATGGGATAGCAGGACCAGCTATTGGTTCAAGGCAGGAGAAGAGCATCCTTCTTTCTATACAATTTGTTTAGAAACCTGAAAAGTTTAAAAGGTGGTGAATACTGTGAAGAATGATGGTAACAGCAGGTATGCAGGCTCCTTGTGAGTCTGATGCAGGAGCCCACAGAGAAGCCTCAGCCAGCCCTGCATGGCCCATGAATGATGAACTGTTCAGTCCATGCCACCTTCCCAAACTCTCCTGCTAAACAAAGAACCCATTGCATTTGGGTAACCAGTTTTAAAGATACCTGGTTACCCCCAAGTACAGAAATATTCCTTTGATTTTAATGAATCTCCACAGGGAGCTTTTAGACCACCATAAATCCACTTTAAGCTCTCAGGACAACCAGGTCATGGTAACTAAAGAATTAGACAAGGCTAAACAAACACTCTCACTAGTTATTCAGTCTTGGCGCCTGGGGGACAGGTTTTTTCATTAGGCTTTATACACATAAACAAAAAAAAAATCTACTTGGTAACCTATAAATTTTAAGACTTTTTCAGATTTAGGTAAGATTCAGTACAGCTCAATCAGCTTAAAAAATATAAAATCTTAAACAGCCGATAAATACACACACAATTCTCACTGAATACAGGCTAATAAAACAATCCAAAGAGATTAAAAACCTCCACAGGACTGCTACTTACCTTAATCCAAGAATATCTTTTTTCCTCATAGTAACTCTAAACAATTTAGATAGCAGCAGTTGCATGGGGTAGGAAGGAGAGCATTGAGAAAGGTCAGAAAAATCTGTAACTGTGACTCTGATGTTACTGAGTCCTTCACACAGGGATCTGCAGGGGGCTCATTTGCCCCTCTGCTGCCCAAGGGCACAGCAGGGACACAGCTGCCTCCATGGTAACCACAGAGAAACCCCAGAGACATCATTCATACCCTCTTCTGCACAATATTGAACCTTCAGCCAGATCAGGAAACTTTTCTCACAATGCCATCTTCTGCCCTCCCTAAATCAAATAATCCTTTCATTAATTTGAGTTAAAATATTATTTTCAGAGTGGAATAAAAAATTATTGAATTGGCACAAACAGTAATTAACATGAATTTGTTTTGATTTTAAAGATATTTATGAACACTCTAAAATACCTCCAGAGTAATGAATTTCTCTTGGATGTGGATTTGTGGAGACTTTTTGCAAACTTAGAGGAGTTAAACAAGGTGAGTAGAAAAAGAGAACTGTTACTTAGATCAGAAATCAATCAGCCCAGTAAAAGAATACAACAAACCAAAAGCTTCTATTTAGTTTCAATGCTCACATTTGGAACTTTGTTCAAACATTCCACCTTTTCCTCTTTTCTATGTGGTATATCAGTGAGAGTCAAATACCAAAAGTGCAAATCATTCTCTTGTATCTCCAGCCGAAGATACATGGCATTTTAAACATGGGGGAGAGCTCATTTGGCAGTTGTTCCTGAAGCAAACACAAGTTTGAGACTAATTCTCATAAGCAGCAACCTTTTAAAAGAGATGAAGAGAAACTACCCAATCCCTACACCAAAACAGAAAGCATGGCAAAATAACTACATAACAAGGCCTCTTTTGCAAGCAGATGGGCAGAAAGACTTTGCTGTCTATCATGCCACTCCAAAAGAGCAAGGTAAAACAAAATGCTGATCCCCTCTCTCCAGCTGAGGTTTCCCTTTGCACATATGTAAGGATCTCTCCCATGTTCATGTGCTACTTACTCTGCTCTGTCCAGGAGAGGGAGGCCACAGGGCTTGGCTGTGATGCGCTCCAGCTCTTTGCTGCTTTTGGCCAGTTGCTGGGAGACCATTTTCAGCTCCTGAAAGTTAAGAACCCCTAAGTCAAACATAGCTTTTACATTACTTTGGAAACAAAACAATTTTTCTTAGCTTGAGGACCTTTTACAGGACACTTCACCCTTCACTAGAAAGAGAACTTTGGAAAGAACTCTGCAGCTGCCTTAATTGAAAAACTACTCACAATCAAATCACATGCCCTAAATCAGCTGCTGGGTTCCATTTATTTCACTTAATGTAATTCCCTTGCCTTAGTACTGAATCTCTCCCTTTTTAGCCAAAACAAGAAAACTGGGAAAGGTCTTCAAAGCAGGGACAATTAGCCAGAACTCAAACACATGAGCAAGGTACTGCTGCTCAGTCACAGACCTCACACCTGGTGAGCTGCTGAATGACCAATCAGTAGGTTTGGAGATACAAGGAAAAAGATTTTTAGCTGACAGGTTTCACCTTTGGCTCACTGTGATTAAGACTTTACATGCAGATAACTGCTAGAGTTCAGCAGATGTGTGGCTGTTGATTGCCTTGTTCTTGTTCAAGGAAGAGAGTGGGATATATCACTGTGTTTCACTTAGCTTTGAGCTTGGCTGGAGCTTGGTCATGTCTTGAGATAATTATCATAAAGAAATGTCCTGCTTTAATTTCTTATTTTGTGGTCCTTATTGATGAGGATAATAAATGACCATCTGTTATGCATACTTTAAATAAATGATTAAACATAGGAGAATGAAGCTGTTCTCAATGCCTTTGGTGCCTTTTTTTTTACAGTATGCATATCCTCTTGACAGCAGGCCGAATCCATGAAAAAATGCATGCTGTAAAATTGTAAAGGTCAAAATTAAAGAATGAGCATCATCCTATAAGCATCCTTGTCCCCATAAATCACCAAACAAAGCAGATGGCAGCTACTACAGTCTGTAGCAGTATCCCAGCAGATTGAGGTGCCCGTCCGGCCTAACATTTGGCAAACAGCTTAGCCCAGTCATGAATTTGTGTGAGAACTGTGTGAATAGTGAAACTTGTGTGTTCAGGATGAAGGTGTGGGCTTAGGAGCAAGCTTGCAGCCCCATCTGACTGATAAGGTAGGCATTTTGAAATCCATATAAACATGTAGAGTTAACTTATGGGGAATATGAGTTTATTTCATTCAATTGAAGGTGAAGGAAGTATCTATAAAATACTACAAAAACTCACATATTTGAAATCATGAAAATCATGATGGTGTCTTCCTCATGGACTGTGAAGGCTTCCTTAACTGTCACAACTCTGTCACACACTATCACTGTTTTCCAGCAGATGCCATTTACCCACTGTCATTTTTATGTCAATCCATGTTAAATACAGCTGCTACCCTAAAACAAATTTAATGGACTAACTAATCTTGTTTCAAAGCTTCTGTCATCAGGCATTTTCACAAAATAAGTGGGTCTTTATATAGATTTTTCTTAGCTTCTAACTAGTTCAAGCATTCTGGGCATAATTCTGAAGACAATTCTGGCAATGGTAGAGATAGGTATTGGCACCTATTAGCTTGGAGCATTTAGAGAGACCAGGGATGGAAAATAAAGCTGACAGTGGAATTAATCTTAACTTCAGATCACTGATGCTAATTTATCTTTATTTTCTTCCCCTTACTTAGATAAGTCTCAGTTTTCTGAAAACATTTTTTGAAACTGTGAAGAAGCACATCAGCAAGTCAGACTCTCCTATGGATTTCAACCCCATACTCAGAATGGTAACATAATTAGCAGTATTCTTGCTTTAAACACAAGCAACAGACCATTTATCAGGGCATACATATCACATACATATCACAGCTCCAGAGCCATCAGGTTCTGTCCAGCCCATGCCATCTGTCACCAGCAGTTTGGTCTCAGCCTCAGGTTGTTCCTATTCGAAGGATGTTTATATTTCTATTCATTGGCATATTTGAAGAAGTCATGGAAAGGTGCTCTGTATGTGGAATCAAGTGTGGAAATATTTTCCCTTCCTGGAGAACAGCAGCCCAGACTCTGAGGAGATTTTTCCACTGTCAGAGGCAAGCTTCCCACCCTGTGGAAGATATTTCCCTGAAACCAGACCCCAGTCCCATCACTGCCTCCTTCTACTCCTTCACACCAATCCTCCTTTACTCCACTGACCAGACCCACAAGTGTTTATAATTGCTTAATTAAGAGCTCATTGACACTGAAATTAGACTTTGGCCTGTGTCAAGCAAGAGAGAGATGCAGCCACAGCTGTCCTGCCACTGCCAAGCCCTGCCTACCCTGCAACCCTCTTGGTCAGTCTGTGTGGGAAACAAGGCATTTGTCTGAACAGCAGTCTGCAGGAGCTCTAATTCCTGCTCAACTTCCCAATGCCTGTAAAGCTGGAAATATTAATCAAGATAGAAAATCCATTGATTGACAGAACCTTCCCTAGCAGTAGAGGCCATTAGAAAACTTCTGGGAAATACCAGAAGACCCTGCCTCAGTGTTAAGATTTTTAATGGAGTCATTCAGGCTAGAGCTTGGTTTCTTGCCCCTGTGAGCTCTGACTCCAGGTGCTCTTATTGATAATGTTTGTGTAGACAAAATCCCAGACAAAGCTGCATTTCATCATGCATGACATTCAACATCTCCAATGTAAATGAGGCTATCCTGTTATTTAGAAATAACATGCTCAGATATGATGCCATGCTACATGAAGTCATCAAAGCTGTTTCAGAAATAGTGGGTATCATTTTCAACTTCCATATGAATTTCAACATCATTTATTTCTAATGAGAACAAAGTCTAAGAATGTGTCACACCTCTGTAGATCTGTTAAAACTGTACTCCTATACATTACTAAAGCATTGTTGTGGCATTTTTACTACTTTACAGTTTTATTGCTGTTTAAACTGCCCTTTACTTTTTTAATTCCCTCTTTTCCCATTTTCCTAGGTACAGGGAAATCTCATATAACATGCGCATTACAACCCCAAAACTCCTGTTTCTCTCTTTGTCATTTTTCTTTCTTAATAAATTTCCAAACCTTTTCTGCAGTTTTTCCAGGGTGACCTCTGTCAGACACACCAGATTTATTGCCTTAATTATACCTCTGCTGTCTTCTACTTGGAAAAGCTGAGACAGAGAGAAGATTTTGGCATCTACCTGAAGGTAAAGTGATGGTTTTATTGTTACTGCTGTTCGTGTTGTTGTTGTCTTCAGCCTTCCTACCTTATGACAGGATTTTAACAGCAAACTAGGAATGTTTATTAGAATCAAAACTGTGTAGACAGCATTTCACATGGATTTTTTTGAACTGCAGAGCATATCACTGATTGGAAGTCACCTTTCTGAGTGTATGTTCACCTGCGTGTGTGAAAGTCCCTACCTGTAATTTAGAACAGATAAGGGGGGAAGAGCTGGGCTGCCTTTTTGCAGGCAGAAAATACAAACTACTAGCATCTTTCATGTGTTTTGCACATAATCTCTTGACTCAATCACCTCCACCTTAACAAAGTGAAATGGTTTACAAGAAAAAAAAAACTAACACAAAAATCAATTTCAAATGTCTTACTTTGGCAAAAGATCTGTAAGGGAGAATTTACCTCCATCTAAGGTTGGAAAGAGCACTCACTGGACTCTTTATCAAGTTGCAGCGCTACAATAGGTTTTGTCTTTGCTGACACCAGCAGTGCAGGGGTGGGGATCTCAGGCTCTGCTCTTTCTGACATCACTAGCAGACCAGTGTGTCTTGTAAATACTTAAGATTAATCTTCAATATTACAGGTTTAGAAAGAGAAACCTCAAGTAGTGGGCTTTTCTCGCAGGCAGCCCAAAACTGGAAGGACATCTTTTTGTGGCAGGCAAGTTCTGCAGCTTGGGCCTTGGGGTTTCACATTGCATACATTCACATATAGGAAAACCGTTCCCCACTGGCAAGTAGCAGTGACCCCAAAAGATGAGGTGGCTTTCAAACCTAACTCAGGTTAATTTTCTCAGGAAGACCTGAGAAAATTAAAACAGCAGATAAATAAGAGCCTTACTGGATATGACAGCATGGCCACAGCATCTGGAATGCTAAGCAGCAATGCAGAAACTCAGTCTGGAGAGGCAATGCAACTTACCCTGTGGAGAGCTGTCCTTGGCTTGGCTGGGATACTGTTAATTTTGTTCCTAGTAGCTGGTGTAATGTTGTGGTTTGCCTTTAAGATGAGAGTAATCCTGATAACACACTGATGTTTACTTGTTGCTAGGCAGTTTGCATTAAATCAAGGACTTTTCTATCTCTCACCACCACCAGTGAGGACTCTGGTGGGACAAGAAGTTGGGAGGGGACACAGCCACAGCAGGTGACCCCAAGTGACCCAAGGGGTATTCCATACCATATGATGTCATGCTCAGTACATAAACTAGAGGGAAAGCTGACTGGGGGGGCCTCTGCTCTGGGACTGGCTGGGCATGGACCAGTGGGTGGTGAGCATTGTGCACCACTTGATTTGTATATTCTGTTGTTTTTTTCCCTTCTGTTTCCATTCTATTAAACTGCCTTTATCTCAAACTACAAACTTTATTTTTTATTTCCCATTTCTCTTCCCCATCCCACAGGAAGGAGTGAAGAGTGAATGAGTGGCTGTGTGGTTTAGATACTTGCTGGGTTAAACTATGACAAGAGATTTTATAGTGCCCCTGTTCTTACTGAGAAACTTATCTTTCATTAGTCCCTGTCTCGTTACAATCAGCTAATGATGCAGAAAACTCTTTGCTACCTCCTAGCCAGAAGGAAGCTGAAGCCTAAGGCACATTTTCCTTGTCTTCAGCAGTGGTGTGAACAAAATGAACAGTGCAAGAGGCTGCATCTGCCAGAGCTGCTGGTTGCTCCTCTGCATCGACTGACACGGTATCCCCTCCTCCTCAACAACATCTGGAAGAGGAGCACTGATGAAACAGAGAAAAGTTTTATCCAGTCACTTAAAGAGAAGGTGGAAAAGTCTATAAGTAAGTAACAAAGGTTAGAAGTCAAGTATGCAGTTAGAAATTAGAAAGTTACATGGCTTTTTTTGCCTGTCCTTTGACGTGTGAATTGGTAAAGTGTCTCTGCAGAAAAGCAACAAGGATGTGAGTACCTTCCTACAATCCTGACCCTCATTCTGTAGGGAATGATTTGGGCCACCTTGTGCTGTCAAAGCCTCTCTGAGCAATGTCACAGGACTCCCAAATCAGAGAGTCACCTCTATTTTCTTAGAATCATCTGCAGTGACAGGCAAAAAATTAAAAGCAGATCTCAAATTGAACCACATCAAGAAAGATCCCAAACAAAGAAGTCTTTCAGTTGGATTTATGTCTAAGGAGGATTTTTTTAGGGCTGATCCTTAATAGGATAAATTTTCTCTCACAAGGGGAATGTTATGTCCATGACCTTTCACTAATGACAGGTCCTACTATGTAAAGTTGTCTCAGCTACAGATTATTATTTATTGCATAAAACAAGAGGCTGGTCCAGATATTAATTTTTTTCCTGAATTTTTAAAAATATATAATATTTCTATATTTAACATATATAAGGACAGCAGTTTTAGGTGTGGCCCCAAAAGACCATGAGATGTCTGGAGAGTATTACTGGCAGAATAAATAGGTCCTTCCAGAAATTAGACACCTCTGGATGAAGGAAACCAAAGACAGAAGGGTGACCCCTCTTTACTCACAGACACCTGACAAGTTTTGATCAGTGAACCAGTAACATAATAAACAGTTGTAGTCCAAGCACTCCCCTTCTGGTGGGGAGGTATGTGAAAACCATTATCTGAAACCATTATCTGCAATATCACTCCACCCAAAGACTTGAAATTTCAGTTGCAGGTCCATTAAAGCTTTGCCCATAATGGCTTTGAATCAGCAAAGACACAGTCCCCATTTTTCACATTTTGAGGGACCCCCACGTCAATCACTTCTGGCAACACTTCCTCTGAAATTAATTCTCATTAATTTCAACAGTCTTTTTATCAGGCTCTATATAATGAAAAATATTTTTTCTCTCACTATACCAGACAGTTTAGGATGACAGGACTTTTTTTGAACACATTTTTAAGATTACAGTTCAATTGAGTTTTATATGATTTCCTGTTCCCCAGACAGATTAGTAAACACAATCTTTTCATTTAGCAGTGAATTTAAGCATCTTTGAATGCATGAATTGAAATTCTGTCCTTGCTGATCTAAGTAGAGTTTAGGCATTTTTTACAATGAGATCAAGATTTCATCGGGGGCCTCACATGTGAGGTACTTCAGCTTTCACAGGAGAAAATTGGTATTCAGCATCTTCTAGAAACAGGACTGCTTTTGCCAGCCCTGGCAGTAACTGGTGTTTCACACATTTCAGGGGATCTGGAAGGAAAAGTCAAGTGGTTGGATAACTTTCAGAAGTTCAGGCAGCTGCAAGAGGTCATAATTTGGCCTCAGGTCTGGGATCGTGACAAAAGGTTCTTTGTTCCAGAGGTAAGCAGATTTTAAAAGAGGTTTGTTTGGTTTTTTTTCTAGAGGAGGGTTTAGTTTCCTGTCTGTCTTCCTAGTGTGGTCTAAAGCTGGCTGCTTGACTGTGTTCTAGCTAGTGGGGATGGCTCTGCTCTAACAGAGGCAGCTGCAGCCTGGGCACTGCAAGTGCTGTAGCTGAACACACACAGTGCCTTGGATGGCAGCAGGGGCTGCTCTCCACATCCAGGAGAGGGCAATGATACAGTCCAGGGGGACTCTATCATATTTGCTTTTAGGGGACAGAAGGAAATGGGATAGATGTATTACCAGCATTCAATAAAGTAGAAATGATTTGCCTCTTTCACTTCTCAAGCTGAGCCAAAGAACTTCCCATTTACACTTAAAATGCATTACAAAAAATCACACAGCATACCTGGGTGTGCACATTTTTGCCGTACCTACCCAGACAGATTTTAAGCAGCACTATTGTAACATCACCAAGTGGGCCCCACCTCAAGGATTATGTCTGTTCACATACAGGGCTGCAAACACCATTAAACTCAATTTGGAAAAGTAAAACCCAGCTTAACATTTCAAAAGCATAAAGACAGTTAAGCAATAGCACTGTTGAAGAAACACAGGCATGCTCAGTTATCAGCTGTGTGATGTACTTAGCCTGAGGTAAGAACACACAAATGCTCATCTTGTTTAGCTGCTGGTTGCTTCCCTGTTCATCATCCATTATGCATGATTCCCCCATTCTCTTTCTCTCTCTCTTTTTTTGGGTCAAGTGTTTGAAGCAAAACTTAAGAGAAAACAGCAGTGAAAACATTTTGTCTTCAGCGAACAGACTTCTCCTTCATGAAGGGAAGCTGATGCTAGCAGGTAATGTCCCTGATCTCCTGATGTCCAGCGATAGCTTAACAGAATTATACATTGTTATGGCAGGTCTAGAATGAACCTCTGCAACAGCATTTGGGCAGGTGCAGGAAGGTAAAAGCAACCATTTAGTTTATTAGAGAGAGACTGAGATACCAAGCTGCCAATAGGATGATAGTCTGTATGATTGTTTATTGTCCCTTTTCCTTGCAAGCAAGGAGTTGTTATATCAGAATGAGGCAGCTGCTACAAGGTACAAATTTAGTAGCCAAAATGACTGAGACGTATGATTTAGTGCATTTGAGAATGCACACTGGAGGACAAGTAGTTGTGAACTATACTGGAGCCAAGGCTTCTTTGTTAAAAGCATTCTGGAAGGTGCAGTGATTCATAGATGTGCCTCATCTTAGAAGTAGCAATTCCTTAAAATTATCACACCATAAAACTGATTTTTTGTTTTTCTTCTCAGAAAGCACAAGGCTCCTTGATGTCTACCTCTTTTTATTTGATGATTTCCTACTAATTACCAAAATTAAACGTAACAAAAAGGTAATAATGTCTAGAGATATACATGGTTGCAGTTGTTACATTTTTTAACTTTTGGATGGCTTTTGAATGTCCTTTGGAAGATTGATCTAATTATAAAAATACAAGATGACTAATCAGCATGAAGAACAGCTGATACCTCCTTATGTGACTAGCAAACCAAAACACTGATTCAAAAGCCTGCTTCTAGGCTCAGCATGGTACAGGAACACTATTACTGGCAGAATTTACATTACAAGACCTTAATATCTTCCTGATGTTGTTCTGATGAGTTGGATTCCTAAAGCTCAGAAAAGTTTCAGGAATGTAAGGCTTTTTATAGCAGGCCCTGCAACCTGAGAATTTTTTATCCCAGAAATATCAGAACTGACAGAAAGAAGAAAAAAAACTTAAAGGAAAAAAACAGGGAAAGGCAAAAATTATATAAGGTTGGCTGTACTGCTTGTTGTCCTCTCTTTGCCTTGATTTCCCCAAGTTTGAAATTGAAATATAATTACTCATTTTAAGAAAACGTTTCTTGATGAATGATTATGCCATAGAGTTCTATAGATGATAAATATCTCTATTTAGACACCAACAGAAGAACTAGACGACCTGAAATTCCTAAAGCTCCAGTGTAGGAGTGCATTTAGCTAATTAAGTCTATGCAACTGATGTAAACTGAGTCTAAATGAACCTACGATAATCTCCAAGGTTTTTTGGTTTTTTTTTTTTTTAAAGAAGCAGGTGTTCTGCTTTAGAGAGAAAGGAGATAAAGAAAGCATGCAGTGAGATGTTTTAGACTTGCAGCACCATCCCTTAGCAACGAGGTTGGTGAGGGAAGCAGAAATTCAAGGGACCTGGTACCCTTAGGCAAATCTCTTTGAGGGCTGTCCCAGGGACATGTGTTGGAGAACCTTCTGTGAAGGACTGCAACTCATCTGGAGCTCCAGGGAATCTGTCCTGTGCATATGCATGAGGAGAGATAAGGAAACTTACCCCCAAGGAAAGGAGAAAAAAACCTGCTATTAAAATAAGGAGGGAAAGGGGGAAAATACTTTTGGAATGCCTATGACTGTCTTCTGCTTGTGGACTTGTATTGTATTTCTTTTTTAGCTTTTTAATGCAAAGTGTGACCTTGCAGGAGAGCTCCAGGTACCACTCAGTTTTTCCAAGATTCCTCAGGCAAATAAGATCTCTGTGTATCCTTGATAAGAGAAAGCACATAATTTAGAGTTGTTTAGTGCCTATACCTCATGAGCAGATGGCAGACAACCTGCTAACCAACTTCATTTCTATTCCCAGAAATATGGAGGCTCAGACACCAGCTTAATCCCCGTCTGTCCTTCCCTCACTCCTGAGCTGCAGTCCTTCATAAGAGAGGGGGGATTTTGCACAGTCCTAGACCAGCCCATCCCACTAGACAGACTCATACTGAAAAATGTTGAACCCATCCAAGTTACAGGTAAGTGCCTGCATGCACACCATGCCTGTTATGAACGCCTTCATCAACACCATGTCAATGCACTGTGTGTGTGGCAGCATAAGGACAAGCTGCTGTTTGCCCACAAACCACCCCCAGACGCCTGGAGTGCAAACACTGGTGCCTCAGCCCTGCCTGGCTTCACAGCTCTGCTCCTGCTGGGAGGCATGAGCTGCTGCCTCAGACTCCACAGCCCGCAGCCCCTGCTGCCAGCAGTGACTCACACACACCAGTGACTGTCACATACTATCCATTCACCCCAAAGGAGGCAGCAAGACTCCAACGATTTCTTTCTCACAAGCCAAGTGTTCCCTTTCCTAACTGTCCTAACATGGTCTCTCAAACCAAGGGTATCTCAAACCCCAAATCTTTCAGTTCACCCCAAGAACATTTTCAGTCCCCAACTAGCTTTGCAACATTTTTTCAGCTGCACCACTACATTGTTCTCCCAGATATCCTCCCACATAACACAGCAGCCATTCTCAAGGAGGCTGGAGAGGAGATTTACCTCCTGCTACTGCTCCTACTCACATCTCCACCAGCTCCTGAGAGGATGGAAATCACCCAGCACACATCAATGCTTCCTCGCTCTCAGACATCCAAATGCATCACTGGGGAATACTTCTCCTATCCTTGCTGCTGTGCAGTTGGGTGTGGAGTGAAGGAGGGCTGACTGCCACAGAGAGTGACCAGCCTTACCCTGCCAAAACAAGGTTCCTGAAGTCACCAAAATCAGATTTTGGGTCAGGGAGCAGGCATGCACCATCAGGCCTCCCCTTGGTCTGAGCCTGTGACGCAGCAGGCTCCCACACACCTCACCCTGGTGGTGAATGATGCCACATCCCCTTGGTGGCCAGTCACTAGTGATGCTCCCCGGGGCTCAGTATTGGTGCTGGTCCTGTTTAACACCTTCATAAAAGACCTGGATGAGGGGAGAAAGGGAAGCTTTAAGCCACACATGGCATTAATTTGGGTGGGAGTGTTGATCCAGTGGGAGGTAGGAAGGCTCTGCAGAGGGATCTAGACAGGCTGCATCAATGGGCTGAGGCCAAGTGCAAGAGATTCAGTAAGGTGAAGTGCTGTGTGCTGCACTTCAGTCACAACACCACCAGGCAGCATTATGAGCCTGGGCTGGAAAGCAGCCCAGAGAAAAAGGACCTGGGGTGCTGGTTGACGGCCAGCTGAACATGAGCCAGTGTGTGCCCAGGTGGCCAAGCAGCCCAATGGCATCCTGGCCAGTATGAACAATAATGTGACCAGCAGGACCAGGGAAGAGATCTGTACTTGGCACTGGTGAGACCACAGCTCAAATTCTGTGTCCAGTTCCAGGCCACTCTCTACAAAAATACATTGAAAATCCAGAGTGTGCCCAGAGAGGAGCAGTGAAGCTTGGGAAGGGTCTCAAGAGTAAGTCCTAAAAGGAGGAATCTGGGGATGTTTAGCATGGAGAAAAGGGGTGATATCATCACTCCCTATAACCACCTGAAAAGAGGCTGTAGCCAGGTGGGAGATGGCCTCTACTCCCAGGCAAGCAGCGATGGCACAAAAGGAAATGGCCTTAAGCTGCACCAGGAGAGGTTCAGGATGGACACCAGAATATTTTCACAGAATGGGTGGTTAAGGATTGGAACAGGCTGCCCAGGGAGGTGGTGGAGTCAGCACCCCTGGAAGTGTTCAAGAAATGACTGGAGGTGGCACTTAGGGCTGTGGTCTAGCTGACATGGTGGTTCAGTCAAAGGTTGGACTCAATGATTTTGGAGGTCTTTTCCAGCCTTAAGGATTCATTGATTCAGTCTAACACTGCCAAGATCACAGGAGACTCCTATATCAAAGAGAATGAAAAGAAATACAAATCTCTGGGCTCCAGGGTCGTCCTATCTTAAAGATTGAAAAGAAGAGCTTAGGGAGCTACAGTGCTCTGTGAGAAAGCAACAGATAAGGAAAATCAACCTAGAGTCTGTAAAATTTATGATAACTTTGAAATACATTCACCCAGACTATTTAGCATTCAGCATCAATGCTGAGAGGATATAAAGGTAGGCAATAAAAGGCAAATTACTAAAGACAAGATAAGGGGATGAACACAAAGAATAATAACCTTTTTTTAAAACATGTTCCAGGCACTGTCTGCCTGCCTAATTAGCTCCCCTACCAAACCAGTAGAAATGGAGTAAAAGTACCAGCCACCTCTTGCCTGCAGGTTGGAGGGGAGGGCAGCCCCACATCCCATGTAAGCCCAGGCTGAATGCAAATGCAAGGCCAACAGCTCCTCGGGTGCTGGAGAAGGCAGTGCAGTCACCCTCCAGTTTGCACCTAATAGATTTGCCATAAAAACCATAATGGAGATGGAAATAACATTTCTGGACTTTTTTTTTCCCAAGCCAGCATTTCCCATAGAGATTCCTAACCAGGGTCTTTCTATCTCTGTGATCCAGCTGCAATCATCAGAATAGAAAAAGCTGCCTTTGGCATTCCAGCCTAGGCTCTGTCCACTGGTTATGACCCTTCCCTGCACCCTTGGCCTCATTGCTTGACTTCTCTCCCATATATTCTTACCAGCTTTACTAGAGCTGTAGCCATGGTAAGTGTTACTCACTTGTAGTCTCATAAGACCTTGGAAGCCCCATCCTAAGACAGGACCCCTTGGGGGTCTTATTGGTACAATAAAAACAGTGAGAAAAATTACTGTAGGGAGATTGCAATTTGGATTCCCACCATTCTTTGTAAAACAACAAGCAAACATTCCAATGTCAACAGAAAATATCCCATTGCAGGAGAAAGAAAAATATTTAATATTGTCTGGAATGTGTGACCTTGGGGAACATTGCCAATTTATCTGCACTCTCAAAGAGACTTTTATTACTGGCGGCACTAAAAGATTAGTTAGCATGTTCTCAGAAAGGTCATATGATCCATCACATTAATCAAAAATGAAATCCTGATTTTTGATCTAGCAAGTACTTTTGCTTTTGTTAGTTTGCTGAAGGCTGACATCACTTTGAAAATAAACAAAGCTCAATGCAAGTATTAGAAAAAAAATATATGTTGCAATATCCTACAAATATCCTTTTGGCAGCAGGCTGATAATTCTTTTCCAAAGCCGCCTATGCATTAGTGAAGGAATAGAAGATAAAATGGTGAGTTCATAACACCAGGAAGGTACCCTAAAAGGAGAACTACCTGCAAACACCATGACAAGAGATATAACTTTACGTGTAAATACAATAGTAGGAACCCAGCTCTAAAGGTTGTAAGCAGCAACATTCTTTCTGATTAACCTCCCCCTTTATTCCAGATGTGTGACATTGGTGTCACTTTGTCCCCTTGCAGAGAAATGCACTACATGATGCTCACAGTCACCCTCATGAACAAAAGTGTGGCAGGGAACAGAGGCACTATGCCTGGGCATCCCCAGGAGCACCAGCTCAGACCCAAGAAGAACCCAAAGACAGCACCAGCCACTTCCCCATGTGCCAGCCATAATACAGACTTAAATAAAACAGGACTTCTTTTTTTGATATTTGTTTTTCTTTAACTTCAGTTATGATTTAGGCCACTTTGAAGGGAAATATTTCTTAATGATGCTCAGGTAGACTCAAAAGCACCTTAGCTGCACAATGATGAAGCAATTAAAATTTAAAAAATGCAAGTAGAATTTACATTTTGAAATAAGAAAGCTTCCTACACAACAAAATTAACTCACCCTATGAGGGTGCAATTGCCCTTTTAGAAATAAAAAAAGATGCTTACATATATCATTTCTTTGATCATAAACAATGAAAAAATTGGATATAAAACTGGACTGACAGTTGTCTGAGGTGCATTTATATCACTTTTTTACATTTTCCACAGTCTTCAGCCTGCGGAATGCTTTTCTAATTCAGCATGAGAACAGGTATCGGCAGTGCATAGCACTCTTCTTGCTACAAGCTCAGACAGAGACTGCCAAGGTAGGTAACACATCTTTTTTTTCTTCTCTAATTACCCAACTATGCTTTCCCTAAAGGAGGGTGGCAGCCTAAAAGTGGTCATGCTGTGATAAGAATCTCTTACAGTTGTGACACTTGACCAAAACTAAAACAAAACAAAATAACACCCCAGTGCTCTGGCTCACATATTTGTTACAGAATTTTTGCTGCTGAACATGTTCCAGTTTTCTATCAGGGTGGTTAGCAGGGCATATTCTTGCTGAAAAACATTATCAATTCTGATTGAAAAAAAAAAAATATCCATTTCTTGTGTCACAGAAGACGGTCAGCCCCTCTAGAGCAGTCAACACCAAAACAATCCCCCCCTACACCCAACTCACATGCACTAGTACTCAAATCAGAAAACTGTCTCATGCTCATCTATTCAAAACATGCATTTTGCCATTTCAGACTGAACAGATGGTATGATTAATTCCACTGTTACATAAATTTACCCCTCATTTTCACACCATGTCACATTACTAGTAACAGCAGTGTGTATAACATCTGAAAGTGTGTCGGGCACTTCACAGTATTTTGCTTTCTCATGTAAGTTGAATTTCCTTCTCTAATACCTAATGCACAGAAATTTGATAACCACAAATACTAATTCTTACAAGTAAATGGTGGTAGACTTGTTCTAAAAGAAACACTGAGTGAATTCTTTCCATTTTCTAGTCACTGGCTGGTACTTGGAATAGCTATCCACTCAAGAAGTCATTACTTTCTCCTGTTACTGAAATAGGACCTTCTTTTTCCAAAACTGCCTTCATACCAGGGCTACCATCTTCTCAATGTCATAGAATCACAGAATAGTTTGGGTTGAAAGGGCCCTTTAAAGGTTTTAGTCCAAAGGATAAATCCTCTTAGGGTTAGTCCAATGTTTAATCATAGCAATTCAGAGACAACTCAACTTCTGTCACCAGACTATCTGGAGAGAAGGAAGTTACATATTTGAAATTATCTCTACATCATTCCCTGTCCTCATACCTGGATGACAGCAAACATAAACCTGAATGCTGTCAGCATGATAACAGAAACTGAAATTCAGTTGGCAGCACATGGCAGATCTTGGAGAAGACAGAACTTGTGATGCTGATAGAACAGGAGCTGTCGTAATCAAAAAAATGAGGAACCCAACTGCAGGGACAGCATTAAGCTGATGAATAAACATCACAAGAAAGGGGTGAAATAGCCTGTAACAAACTTCACCATTACAAACAGAGCATTAAAATCCTACCTTCCAACCAAAAATAGATGCATTTGCTGGAAATCCCTGGCCTCAGACACAGATTCCAGCAGCATGCAGTGGCCTGAACAACTGGGAGAGTCTCAGTTGTGGGATAATTCATGTTTCCTTCAGCAATTATGAGCACAAGCCTGAAGAGAGGCTAAATAAAACTAAAGGCTCTGGATGTTTATGCATCTTACTTACTGGAAAATTTTTAGGTTGTCTTGGTTTACAAATATTTTTTCTTGTTACAGAAAGCATGGATGTCACAGATAGAACCAGCAGTCTCCAATTACACCACACAACATGAAACCAAGAAAAGAACTGCTTTCTGCTTTCCCAGTGAATCCTCTGAAATTTAATAATGTCAGCATTGCACTGATAGAGCCAGTGGAAGATTATTGTGGTGATAATATAGTTATTTTATAATATAAATACAATGTCTTATGTCTCTGAAGCTAACAAATTTCTGACTTGACAAAAGTATGGTGCATAGACCACATCATGTAGGAATAAATTGGAGGAGAGGAATGAGCCATGCAACAAATGTGTCACTCCTAGATGCTCCTTGCTTCACCTAGGGAAGGTTCTTGCCACCCAAGGAAGTTTTAATAGAGCTTGTCATTTCCTAGAAAGCATAACAGGGAAAAAACCCCTATGTTGGTAAGGACAATTCATTCACCAGAGAAGTTTAGAAGGGTTATTGCATCATTGAAACTGTTTTAATAAATTTCATTAAATTAGAATTGTGTAGCCATAGCTTCTGATATTTATGTGTCTCTACCCAGTAACCTATAATATCCCAAGATGATTTTTGCATTAATACTGAGTGTGTGGATAAATGTATACATATGTATGCACTTACCTGGTCCAGTGCTGTCCAGATGCAGCCTGGCCACTGTGATACACAAATTCCTGCTCTTCCCCTGTGCCTATCATGGGCAAGTTTTTCCTTCCTGGGAAAGGAACAGCCATAAGGTTCCATGCCAAGGGGGGGATGTGTGAAGCAGGAGGGCAGAGCAGAGTGCAGACAGATCTGCACCAGGGCATTACACAAGCTGCCAATGCCTTGCCACAACTTGGCTGACACAGCTGTGCTCCATCTCCTGATCCCATGTTCAGCTGCACACTGCACCACACCAAAGGCTTACCAGAACCTCAGAGCATCCTGAAACCAGTGCTGACAGGACAAAGGTATTTCAAGCCCAGAGGAGCCACACCTGACAGACTAAGGTGTGTGCTTTATGTGCTGGCAGAAGGGAGAGGGTATTTCACTTTGGATACTTTTTAACAAAGCAACTTTTAGCCAGGTCTACTCAGTTTAGCAGACAAGCAGTCATTCCTGGCCAGCATGTCTCCAAGGAGGACAGCCCAGGGGAAGGCAGTATTTACACACAGGCTTGTCTGCCTGGAGATGCAAGCTCAACAGGCTCTTCTGTGGTGTCAAGGGAAACATACCTCAGGAAGGAGCTGAGGGAGAAATTGACTTCCCAATTCAAACCCAATTTCAGAGGAGACCTCTCTTGTCCATCTTTCTCCATATCCACACAGAGCCCCTGCTTCAATAGCTAAACATGGGTTGTTTGGTTATGCCTCCATAATTCATTAGTGGCTCAGGACTGATCTCCCACATTAACCATCTGGCTTCTCTCTGCAACACAGTTCCACCCTGAAAGAGCTTTCCATTTCACAAGTGAGACCTTTATTGGTCTAAAAAATAAAACAAGTGCCACTTTTTGAGTTTTCCAGTTATGCCAATTGTCCAGCTGCATCGACTGTGATGTGAGAACACAGTGACAGAAGGACTTTCACCAAATGTGGGATACTCAGCAGCCTTGCACAGCTATTGGGAATGAAAAGACTACTCTGAATTTAACCTGTGAAAAGAACAGATTTGAAAAACAGTCATTATTACTGTGTTCTCAGGAATGTCAAAGCCTTTGCTGCAGCTCCCCGCAACTCTAAGAAACTGGAACATTTAGCTTGCTCTTACATGTGTGTAAGAACAGTTCATCTACAAGAACAGTACATCTATAGTTGTAAAACTATATATCCACCTTTTCAATGTAGCTTTGCTGTCTGAAACAGAGCAAGGTAGTTTTGAATGATATAACCTGGTCTATTAGAAAGGTCTAATTTTTTTATTATCATTAATAGTCATTCCTTTAACATATTAGAAAACAAAAATGACATTTCAGCAACAATTCATCATAGTTTATACAGAACCCGTTGATGCATGGTGTCACCTTCCCACTCAAATCCACAGCCACCTTCCAGATCACAGAGTTTAAGAATTACAGTGCACACTGGACTAAATTCTTTCACAATGTAAGGCACAACTACATGATCACAAGTAGTAAACACAAACACTGAAAGCAGAACTTAAGAGAATAAAACTTCAATTAAAAAGAAATAAAACCAAAACAGACTCATGCAAAAAATCTATCTACACCTACCAAGATGGTATGATCCAGTTTAGAAGTACAGTACTCTGTAAGTAAAACTGCAACATAAGTCTTTTATAATACATTACTTCTAAATATCAAGTAAAAACTTATATTTTTTTCCATTTATATTTTATACAATTATACAGAAATTAAGCCGTATGAACAATATTCACATCTGCAATAATAAACTGATCATTAAAAGTCAGAAAAGAGGCAAATGAGACCATGTAATTTGTGGCACGCATCCATTACAGAACACCATTCATCAAGTTCACATCTCGAGTACTGAAGGAAAAAACCACGACCAAGTGAATGGTACATTTGGTGACTGAGGCTATCTGTAACCAAACAACAAAGCTCCATACAAAATTGGTTTTACCCAGCAGGCCTTAATTATGAAAGCTTGTGGATGTTAATTTATTATTAATTTATTTCCTGTCCAGCAGCTAGTTTGCAAGGTTGAAGCTACAGAAGTTAAAAGAATTTAAGAGAGTTCACAATAACTTGAAACTGTTGGATTATTTCAAATACACATTAAAAAAAAAAAAAACTTAACTATTTTCCCTTTTGGTGATAAACTTTTGCAATTTTGGCATTCACTATAACTTTTACATAACATGACCGTGAGAAAACCTTATTAAACTTACCTAATGTTTGAATTTCACATTTGAGAGGTAGCTTAAATTAAATCTTATGTGATGGCATCAAATTGGGGCGGTGTGACTTTTTTTGTAACTTTTTTTCTTTTCTTACAAAAGTGACTATTTCTATACAAGCAGCATTTTGGACATATTACTATAAAAAGTTCTGGTATTTGCTAACCCAGCGAGATGCTCTTTCCAACATCCCTTTTGTGCCAGGAATCAAGCTCCAGCGTGGTACAATGGAGGACTTTGCCATGAAGCCAACAGCAGTGGCCTGGACCTGCCAGCACTGACCTGTTGACATTTAACAATGAACATCCTTTCCCAGCCCTCTTTACCCAAAGAAAAAGCACAAAATACAGACAAATTTGGTTTTAGTTTTAAGTTTCCATCACAGGGGGAGGGAAAATTGGAAAATGTGCCTTCCAGGCTCCTGCTTTCATACAATATTGATCCAAAGGGGTAGCAGGGCTTCATCAGTCTTTAAATGCACAGACACTTCTCTATCCACTGCATAGTGAGTGTGTAGTATGTGGGGAGCTACAGACAATATGCAGAGTTTATTACATAACCTAGTACCTACACTCTTCATTATTTGAAACTTAAGTGGTATCTAATATTCTCTCTAAACATGCAAACTTTTTTATTCAGTGTCCATTTAAAAAGAAACAGAAAAAACACCACAAAACCAAATTTCAATGGCAGGACTTACATGCAATTACAGTTGGCTTTGAAAAGTACATCAATTAGTCCTTTTGGAGTGCCTATGTTGGACAATAGTTTTAAACTCATTCTAAAATGGATGCTGAGGTCAAGATTTCAAAACCAAAGAAACAGACAACTGGCAAGATCCTTGCAAATATGTAAAATTCTTTCTTTTCTCATTTTATAATCTTAAAATTAAGTTCTACAAAGACATGTGTGTGACTAACAAGGTTTTTGTTATATGTGGTCTCAGATGATGCGTTTTTGGAAAAAGGAACTGTGAGTGCAGTTCTCCTTAGGGCCAAATGTATACAGTGAAAAATCCAGCTGATTATAAACCTGCTGTCCAATGACTACAGCTAACACATGCAATGCACATGACGCCATTCCACTTACTATAGATTCTCTTAAACAGCCAAAAATGCACAGTGCAAATGACAGTGTTGTTTCCTAGGTCTCTGACAATATGAGAGCAGGAGAGGTGGTACTTAGAAGAGTAATTTATCAGTTTCTACATACTCAAATCACAATATCATTCTTCTTGGCATAGTTTAGAATCTATTTGAACTTCAGGTCCAATATTTTTCTGTCCATCACTGAGTACTGGCCATAAAATTTTTAAGTTTTGTAACAAGCATTTGTTTCCACTCCATGGTGAACTGACACTTAATAATCCAGAAAAGCAGTTGAGTTTTTCAGGTTCCTTTATGAATGTCATTTCTCTTACATCTAGCATGAGAAGCTCAGTTGTTCTGGCTCATGTAATACAAACACAGAGAGGTTACTCCATGCTTCTGCTCCCAAATCCCTTCTTGCTTCACTAATAAAAAAGCTTTTCCAGTGAGGGTTCACAAATAACCCTAATGGTCCCAAAGCCAACAAAAGTAGTTACTCATTGTTCTTGTGTACCTTGTGTTCCACACTCCATGGCAACTTGGTTACTTGACACCTTCCAAAAACAGAGGCAAAAACCCACATTTCACCCTACAGTCATGGACATTTGTGCCAGAGAGTGAAACCAGCTGAAAACTGAGATCCCTCTAAACCTCTTGCCTCTGTTGGAAGCTGCAGCAGAAAATTCCTTTTGTCTCTTCATCTCCAGACAGCAACTTTTCCTACTGTGACTCATTACTTTTATCCTCTTCATTCAACATTTGCAGAAGGGGGAAGATTACATTAGGGAGTACGTGGGGAGAAGAAATAAATAACAGTGAAGGAGAGCCAGCTAAGATCAAAAGCCTGCCACGGACCTCTGCAATGCTACCTGTCTCCAGTGTGATGTACTGCTGACATAAGGCCAGAGTGGAACAGCAGGATTTGGCATTTGTGGGGCAAAAATCCAAGGGACTGTGAGTCTTTGACTGGGAAGAGAGGTGTTGTCTCCAGGAAGTTAAAAGAACCTCTCCCCACCCTTAGTAAGACCATCCTTTACACATTTACAAAAGCTTCTGTAGCTTATTTCTGCCCATGAAGCAGTTGGTCTCTCACATTCTGCTCCTGCAGCAATTCTGAATGTGGATGGAGTATCCTGCAGATGGCACAGTTTCAAGAACAAAGCCCACACTTCACTGTCCCATTCCTGATGCCACAGTAAGGAGTAGCAATCAAAAGCTGCTTGAGGATCCCACAAACCTACTGGTTTGAGTGCTGGTTTTGCCATCATTTTCACCTCTTCCTCTAAAATGGCCACTCCTCAGGGAATCAGAGCATTCTGCCTATTGCTAGAAGCTGTAAAAACACATAACTATGCATTCTCCAGTTCCAAGAGTCCGTCTCTTCTGCCATTTTATTATTTTTCCCCTCTGTTTCTGTGTCTGCAGTCTCAAAAATCAGTGAATTAAAATGTTTTGACTGGAATCCTTTTTTTACTGTGGTAATAGTCACCAGGCTTTTTACTTTTTACTTGGTTTTCAAGTTACTTAGAAGGCAGTGGAACAAAAAGCCCACATTCCTACTGAAACATGCCCATCAAAACAGATTCTGCAAGCATATTTGTAAATACACAGCTTTTCACCTTTCAGTTTCCCTTATTATGGGATATTTTCTTGAGCTTGAACACAGATTCCAACCTGGCAGTGAAGCCAAGTATTATAGAGTCAGTCCACCATCAACTTGTCAACAAATACAGACCAGAACCAAGAGTTACAAGTACAAAACAAGGAGCATGAGACTCAGCCATGGAGTCATAAATTCACTTTTCACAGTGAAAAGCTGTGGAAATCATGATCTATTGCTGCAGAATCAAAGCTCAAACATGAAAGTTTCTACCCCACTGTTCCTCCAGATTTTAACAATCCTTCTTTCTACAAATGTGCATTCAAAAAGCATTTCCATCTCCTCTAAAAGCTGCTCATATAAACTAGGCAGCAAAAAGCAACTTTCAAAAATTAAGCTGGTTTTGCCCCTGAAGCTGAAGAGCTCCACTTCAAGGTGTGATCTGCAGTCAACCAACCGCACTGCTTCAGCAGCCCGCTGAGAAAGGTGACTCTGCTTGTCTTTATACAATGATATCCCAAAAGGCTGAATTAAGAGAGCTTCTAGAGCTTCCTTCCAGAGCTTCTACCACTGAAGAAGTCACTCCTGAGCTTTCATATGTTCCCAATCAAAAGCAAAATGCCTAAACACAACTGAATCTTCTAACCACTTTCCAAGTTCCACTGAAAGATCCCCATCTTCCTCTGCCTCATGTGTTTTAATCTTAGGCAGCTGTGGGAAGTTTCTCCCTTCCTGCTCAAAATCCCTCCTGTTCTGTGTGGCTGTCATTCACCCAAAGAACAGCACAAGGCTCTTGTGTGTTACACAAAAGGGCAGAATGCATCTATGCTGGAGCACAACCGTCACATCTCTACTTTTCCCACATTTCTAAAGCCAGACAAAGAAAGACTATAAAGCAATTTTTTTTGTTTCTCTCAGTAAACAAATAAATAGAAAAAAAAATCCCAGAGGCAGAGATTCTGTTCATATTTTCTATTCAAAAGATTCTTATGCCAAACAGTTATACTGATGAGGAGAAACAGGGAGTCCAGAGGCTCTGTTCATATGGAATTGTTGCAGCAGTTTGTTTTTCTTTTTTGAGCCAGCAACTCAAGTCCAAACCAGAAAAACAGGTCAGTGTTTTGTATGAACCACAGTTGCAACCCAAACCCTTCTACTATGACAAGAACAAGTCACATCATTCAGCTGTCTTCTGGGAAATAAGAACTGAATTTTAACAGAACTCCTTGACAGTGCAAATGTAGAACTTGCTGGGTAAGGTGAAAGAGGATATGAAACATATAGATCACTACTTCTGGAGTAGAAGGACGAAGTTTCCTCACTTGACAGTTAATCAAGACATTTTTTATAAAGAAGACACTTCTTCATTCACATATAGAGCTGTAACTAGATAAAAGCAAACAAACCTTCCTAATGATGACTAAGCTACCATCATTGTGACAGAATTTGATTCCTTGCCTCAGAAAAGAAGTAGAGGAATTCAGGACACAACTTTTTTCTCTGAACAGCTGGCAAAAATTGGTAAGATACTGAAGCATTTGAGGGGTAGAGAATTTATTAGGGTATTTAAGACAAAAAAAAAATTCCTAAATATTGGAAGGCATAACCCCTGCTTAGAAAATATAATCTTAAGGGTTTGAAATACCCTTAGAAAATATAATCTTAAGGGTTGAAATACCAGACAGAAAGGAAGGAAAAATTAGAGACAGGCAAGCAAAAATGAAGAGGTGCAAACAAAATCACAACAAAAAAGAAGTATGGAGCTTACACGAACTGCACAAGAAACTTCTGTTCCCAGTACAGAAAGCATGAATAAATATTTATTGTCATACATATTGGCCTCTTTGTTAGAACTATTTGGCTTATAACAAAGCCAGTTTTCCATTCTAAGCAGACTAAATCACACAATTAACATAACACTTCAGAGCCCCTGGTAATGGGGGTCAGATGGAGTAATGGAAAAGTGAGGTTTGTTAGGTGTTACAGGAGTTCAACTTCTTCCACCAAAAGCTGAGGAAGGGACAGAAGAAAAGGCCAGAAAAACTACAGCTGTCTCAAAAAATAATTTTTCTCAGTTGGATGCCTGGCTTGGAAGGTCTGGATGTCCCTTAGAACAGCAGTGATCTCTCAATGCTTCCAGGGTATGGGCAGGGGCAGAGATGTGCTACAGGCTTCTACCAGCATTGTTTCTTTGCTTTTTAATGCAAAACAACATGATGTAAGAGTTTCTTGAATATTAGAATGTGTCAACCAAATTTGTAAACGTGAAATCAATCACTATGGGATGAAATATTGTAATGCATAATATTGCTACAATGCCAGATAAACTTTGTCTCATCACTTGTTCACACATAACTCTCTCAGAAAGACAGATGCACTCACACACCAACTATGCAATAGAGCACATGTAAAGGTGTTCCAGCACCCAAGTGCTGTATTAGATAAGGACTTGGGTGCTGATAATACAAGTGGGCAAATAAACTGAGTTGAAGTTGAGTCCAGCCATTACCCTCATTGTGGAGTTCAAACTTCAGAAAGAAAAACAAGAACCAGAGAGATAGAAAAAAAACCAAACAAATCACAGGGGGTTATAAAGACCATCAGATACACAATCAAATGCAACAATTAGTTATGTTTTTACAGCAACATTTGATACATAAAATCCTCACAAGTTTGCATCTTCCTTTGTCTTTGAAGGAAACAAGAATAAATTCCAATATCACATAAATGCCGTTTCTCTTGAACAAAAAAATAAAAGATAAAAAAATACATTGTTACTCCTCTGTTTAAACTTTATTTACAAATAACTGGATAGTTCTAATCTAGACATAAAAGCTCTTTCCATGATGAATGTCAGTAAGCTATGAATTATCTGAGCCCATGTCTCACGAAAAAATACAATAGTTTTGCTTGGTATCAATAAACATTTTAAAATATACTAGATTTTGCCAAGTGTTACAATCATTGTCCAAACTGAATAGTAGTCTGAGTGCTGAATGAAGTGCATCAACAGAAATAGTAAATTTTAGTGTAACCTTTCTTTGTCACTCACGACAGCCAGTTATCCTTGCAAGTCATTAAAGCAAGTGTCACAGACTCGGACAGGCTTCTTGGAAGAAGGAGTTAAGGCATTCTTTGCTGAGCACTCAGCACAAAAGATATTTCCACACTGTCTACAGTGATGCTGCAAAAGAGAAGAAACATACATGCTGAATATCAGTGGCAGTGATCACTAATAGAGACCACTATCATGTCAAGTCAACTCCCATGTTTCAAAAATTACTCTTAATTTTTAATTGGCAGTCACATAGCAGAGAGAAGGTAATTTCAGTAAATCCTTTCTAAAGGGTATATGATTAAAACATTCAGAAGTGCTTCACTGAGTCAAGAGAATATCTCAGTTTCAGAAAACAGAAAATAGTTCATCCTCCTCTTGAATTTGTTCTCTTGAGCTTGTTCTGGTCACATGAAATACATTCTTCTTATACGTAATTACCTGCTTTCACATTGAGAATTATCCTTGAATCAAAGGATCCAGCAGTCTCTGTTCAAAGACTACCCAAAGAACATCACCAAAATAGTGCAGGCCAGGGGGAGTCACCTAAGACTATATCAGGAAGCTCTGCAAAAATGAACCTCACAAATATCCCTCATCTACTTCATTGCAAAGCCACTTGTTGGAGGGGTGCTCATCTCTGGATGAATGGCAGACCCTGCCAATTGATGATAACATCTTAGCTGACCATAGCAGTATTTCAAGCAAGGTCTGACTCCAGACCAAAAACACATCCAGTTGTTTCTTCTGCTCCATGTTTACAAATGTATAGTCACAAAGCACCAGATCATAGTGATGCCTCATATTTTCACACATATCTAATTTCAACCAAATTACATTCTTTTTATACCCATAAATCTATATCTCCATATGGATATATGGAGATATATATATATCTCCATATATCCATAAATCTAGTTCAGATCAGTTATAAATATATTTTCTGTAAATATGCTTACAACAGTAATTTTGCCTGCTTGCTTTGGGAATTGAAGCATTTTAACTCTGTTTATAAATTGATGCTGCTAAAATGGAAAAAGAATCATGAATAAAGCAAGCTCCACAGCCATTATTTTTAATATGTTAAGGCACTTTAAACAATAACTGTATTCTGAGATGTCTTGAAAATCACAGCACGATTCAGGCCATTTTCTGAAGGCTGTATCCAATCCAAGGGTTTGGAAACAATAAAAATAGAAAAACACCATAGCCACAGAGTAGAACACACCTACCCTTCTTACTGTCACCGAAAAGCCTTTTCCACAGGCCATACAATTCTGTACCTCATTGTCTTCTGCCCACTTCCTGTTGAGAGCTTGTGTGTGTTTGATCTATACAGAAGATGTAAAAAAAAATCAGGCTTTTTTAAAAATTGCATGTCTATTTCCTCTAATACCCTCTATTTCCACAGCATGCATTACCTATTGCAAAATAAAAGCACCAATTCTGTCACGATACTCAGGGCTTATGGCTATTCAGAGAGGAAACCTTCTAAGCTTCAAAACTATAAGCAGATTTAATAACACACAGACAGACCCTCACACACCACAAACATAACACCTTAATTCACTCTAGAAAGGCAACCCATCACCAAACTGACACAAATTTGAAATTCTCCTAAGATCCCAAACAGAGAATCAACAGGTTTTATAGCTTCAAATCAAATTATACCTGCAATGACTGGTTTTCTCGGCCAAGTTCCTGCATTGCAGCCGTTGTATTGTCCAACTTTTTCTTCATTTCTACAAGTTTGGCCTGAAGCTTTTCAATTTCTCCCTCACTTTTTATACACCTGAGGCAAAATAAGAAACAGTCAGCTGAAAGCATTTAAGACAATGTACACTGTGTGTCCTTTGAGCCAGTTGTCAGTCTGAGAACTTACCCGCATAAAATCCAGCCAAAAAAATCCTTACTCTGAAAAGTTCTTGGATGCCTTAACTAGGAAAACATTCTGTTGTAACAATCAGTTAAAGATTATACTGGCATTGCTCCTAAGTATCTGCAGCTTATCAATACCTGGAGTTACACCCCAAGCCAGGGACAGTGCTGAAGGCAGTCCCTCAACAGCAAGCCCTGGTAAACACCCCTGTGCAATGGGACACTCTCCCAAACCAGCTGCTGCAGATCAGGTCAGGCAATAGGGCAGAAAAGAAACCTTTTTCTTCTACCAAGGCCACCTCCCATCAGCTGAAACTCAGTTAGCTGCTCAAAGCCAAATTTCAAAGGGTATTTTTCTGCCAAGCTGTAAACAGCTACAGGATGAGTTCAACACAGTACAGCAAGGGATTGCCAAAGAAAGAGGATCTCACTTGAATTGATCCCATCCTTTTCCAAGGTCTACTGCTCAGAAGTCAAACCACCAAGCTTGACAGTACTGACAGAAGTTTTCCCCTCTGCCTTCACCAAACATGTCAGGAAATAAGGACAAAGAAAGCTTCCTGTCTCACAGGTATTTCTTCTACCCTGGAAATCACTGCATTCAAGTAGCTCCTGCTGCTTTGCAAGGCCTCCTGCTGTCTGAAGGAAAAGCACTCTGCTTACCTTAGATTTAAATATATTGTAGAGACAACAGCAGGATGGGAGAAAATAAAACTGCAGCTTTTCAGGAGGAAGAAAATGCCTCCTTTGTGAACTTTAGTCTATCTAATCCAATTACACTCAGTCTCCTAACACAGAGTAGTGGGCACACCTGGGATTTCCTATGCAAATTCTGTGTTACTTAAGGGGTCTCTTCCAGGCTTCTGGATGACTTGGGCATGTATTCAAACTGAATCAAGGCATGGGAACCTCACAGTGATGGAGAAGGACAGTTAGCTCAGGTAAGAGAACTTCTCCCTGCCCGGCCCCACAAGGTTGACACAACAGATGAGAAGCTACAGCCTATACACCTGAAATCTCAGAGAAGCCCAGTGGATTTAGAAGGGTCTTACAGATGGACATAAATCTTTCAGAGCAAGCACAGAGCTGTAGCTTTGTTAATTAGTAAAGATCCTGATAAGCCTGCCCTGTTTTCTACAGAATGATCACAAAGAGCACAGTTGGTTCCCAAAACCTCTTGCTGTGCTTTGGTAGAGATGACAGAGAGTTGCACTCTGGAAACTGCACCCACAGCCCAGGAACTAAGAGCAAATACAAATTTAAATAAAGCATGAACATAGAATCGCAAATCAACTCAAGTTTTCACCCTCAGTTCATTTAATTTCTCAAACTACACTTCCTTAGTCATGACCACAGCTTACCTCTCCAGCAAGGCTCTTCTCTCATCCTGATTATTCTGGACTGTTGCTTCCAGGACAGCGTTGTCCCCACGTAAGTCATCTGTCTGCTTCTCCAGCTCACTCACTCGTCTTTGACTGCTCTGCCACTCTTTCTTCATGGTAGCCAGGTTTTCATTCAGGGCTGTCACCTGCATGGTGAGCTTGGTCTCTTTTTCCTCATGTTTCCGTTTTTCTTCTTCTTTGTCTTTTTTCTCTGTGTGCTATAAAAACAATGGGAAAATTAAAAACAAGCTTCCAAGCATTCGTTCCCTACTCCCTACATTTAACTGAGCCAAAGAATCTTACTGCAATAGAATCACTACTTTTAATCAACACACTCTACTAGACAAGGCTGTCACCTCACTGAATTTTCCTACACCATTAAATGCCTCACAGATTTTTTTATCTTGTCATTTAAAAGCTCCTGTAAAGTGAAATTAAAGTCAACCCATTGCATCCTTTCTGTCTCTGGAAAAATCCGAAGGCATGTTCATAAAACAGCAGTCTCATTCTCTCTATATACTAACCAGTTTGGCTTCAATTTCAGCACATTCTTTCTTCAGCTCCTCTTCTCTCTTTTTCAGCTGATCTTTGACAGCTTGATGTTTTTGTTTCTCCTGTTCCAGAGTTGAATTCACAGTATCTATTTTGCCCTGCAGTTCTAATTTCTGTTGAATCAATAGCTGGTTTCCATCCTTGAGATTTGTCACCTCCTGTTAGGATATAGAATTCAAAGTTAAAGTAGCAACTCTGAAAGTGTAAATTGATTTAAATTAAAATTATTGTAATTCTTTCCTAGGAGAGGACAGTGATAATTTTTAGTTTCATCACTAGAAGAAAGGATGATTTTATAGAGTAAAGTATCACTGATTTTCATGATCAAAGATTTTTAACTTATATTATGATCAACATTAAATTTTTAAGATAATTTTAATATATGTTTCTACTAAAGTAGAGAGGAAGATCTGTTGAATTGTTTCCTACCACTCCTTGAAAAGATGCATTCATTGTCATTTTTTAGGTACAGCTCTAAAATTTACTTCACAGTGCTCTCTGTTTGCAATAATGAGGTTAAAAACTTTGTAATGACAATGTAAAACTGAATGCTGATGGAAGAAAGTTAGTTTCTATTAGTCCTCAATGTATAAAAAAATTACTCTCTTTTAAGCAAATGGGATGATGTAAATAATGGCTTTACTTGTTCTTCTGTAATTGAACTCAAGTAGAACAGTTCATTTAATTAACAGAAATAATTTTCCTTACATTTACACAGTCAAGGGTACAGGTTCTAACAGAATAATAGGGGTGGAGCATTTTCCATAAATCAAAATTCACAATATGAGTTAAAACCAAACCAAGGACAGTGAAAAGAACATATCCTCAGAACAAGAGGATGCCCTACAGATACATATAAATCTATTCCTTGCTAGGAGATGGGAAACAGAATTTAAGTCTTTAGGAGGCTTAAATTAAGTCTAACTAAGTCTGATTGCTTGTAGGGAAATGAAGACATTACTATTAAGCTGATACTGGTGTGCACACCTTTTACATCTTCATAAATATTATTCTTTAGAATAGAGATTTTAGGAACAACAAGAATTAGAATACCTTTCCCCAAGCACAGAGTGCTCAAGAGAAACAAAGTACAGACTTATACCTAAAAATTACAGACCATTTTCTAAACAATGGAGAACAAAAGAACATCTGAAGGCTGTAAGCAATCATGTTATTTTCTTTTATTTTTATTAATGTATAGGGAATTGTACCTGTATTTATACTTGTGCAATAATTTAAACTAAGTGTGCTTAACAGATGCAAATATAACTGCTTATGGAAAACACAAACTGCAGCCTTTTAGGAAATTTAGCTTTTATAGGGACTAAAAAACCAGAATATGTAGAGTGTGGCATGAAACGGTTAGTTTCACTGAAGACTAAAAATTATTTCATTAAATCCTCTCAACCTTTAACCTTTAAAGAGCTCAACTGATTGTTATGATTTTGGAAGAGAGTTAGTCTTTTATGAAGCTCCTGACATTTGCCTTCTTTGAGGCTTCCCCAACTGTAACTTTTTAAGACATTTTAAGAAACAACAGTAAGAGAATTTCATCTCTACCATGCATCCTTGAGAAGTCCCAGATGTGCCTAGAATATGTGGAAAACTTCACCATTGTGATTCTTCTGGACCACTTTTCATTTCAGAATAGTCAAACAGGGGTATGCAGAGTGAATTTACAGTGGAACTGAAGAAAAGCCAGGACATACAACCCATCCTGAAGCCAAGACAAGTTATGCAGCCTACTGGCTCACTAGGCCCTGGGGCTCATCACCAACCAAGACATCATTGCTGAGGGAGCTCAATAAAATCTGAGCTTTGGTTCCCTTACCTGTACTACCAATATTTACAGTAACCATCTTTGCAAAGCCATTCCAGAAAACATCTACTGAGTAGACACATATTTCTCATCACATAACCAAACACATGAAGAAGACTTAGCTTGTCTCAATGTACCTTCTCAAATTCTTGCTTGCAGGCTTTAAGCTCTTCACCCAGCTTGGCACTTTCTTTTTCAAGTCTGTTCCTTATTTCCTGGAGCTCTGCCGTTTTACATTTTTCATTAGCCAAATCTTTTTCTTTCAAAATCTTGAAGAGAAATAGAAGTGCAAGAAAAGTTACCTCTTCCAAATTCACAAAATAAAAAACCCAACCAAACAAAAAACATTCAGGGCCCAAAAACTATTTGGTAACTTTGTAACTATGGAGAAACAGCTGCCATTTATCTATCTATAGTTTGTAATGCAATTAGCAGCATGATTCCAGTTTTAGATTTAAAACTAATAATGTTTTCCCACCTGTCTAGAAAAATGAAAGCATATTCTGAACCGAATTCAGTACAACTGTCTCTTTTCACCAGAGGTTCAGTAGAACTGTTATTGCTATGCACTACAACAGTGTTATGCTCTCAAATCAGAAAATAATAAAGGGTGCCTGCATGGGGTGGATGTGATATCTCCTGTGTGGAGATTTCAAAAGGCAGAGGCATTTACCCTGTCATTCTGAAGATCTTGCAGCATTTTGGTCTTCTCACCCAGCTGCTGTTCTTTCTTTGATGCATCCTGCTCCAGTGCAGACTGAGCTTTCTTCAGCTCCTGAATCTGTTGATTACTGCTAGCAATTCGATTCCTGCTGGAAACTAATTCTTCTTGAGCTAGAGCAAGTTTTTCTTCTGTGGACTAATCACAAAGAGAGTTCTGCAAGTTATCCATCAGTATAAAAATTACAGATACTAAACAGCCACTTAAACATTTTCCAAGTAGAAAAACTGCTACCTGGTGTGCAACATTTAGCTTCAAATGTCGACAGAGCATAATTACAGAAACTTCCAGTTTACAAGGTTACCCAAAGTAAAAAGAAACTATGCCAGCTTAATTTCCAGGAACAAAAACTTACTGTACGTATTCCAGCCTGCATCCTTGCACAGACAAAAGGTGATAACAGGCAGAAGGGCAAAGAACAAAAAGTGACTGCCACAAAGAGAATACACTTGAATTTGCTCACATAAATTAATTTTATTATCTAGGCAAATCAACTGTTCTATAACTCTAGATAGCTGTTACTTAAGAAGCAGTGAAGCTATACTTTGAAGATTTCAAAAATTATTCAATGCTATTTGCCACCAATGACTTAATAAAGTTAGTACTAGGTCAACTGTAAAATTTTTAAAAATTCTGGAGTAAAATGTATAGGATAAAAATGCTAATATCCGGATAAAATGTTTCACAGTTTCTGCTGCATAAGCATTGTAAACAATAAGTTTAAACTTTCATTCAAAATCCAGAGATGATACTTTATTTGCTTCTAATTCTCACCATTAGCTAGAAAAAGAACTTTGATTTATATCTCTGAAACAGGTCACAAAATCCCAAGAAACAATACAAAACTTGCACCCAAAGCCAAGCTCATTCTGTTTGCCCACAACAAAGTCTAACTTTGGGAGGTCTTTTTCAGTTTTTAAACCTTCTAGCTTAGCTAAAGACTAGTTCCACTTGAAACCAACAAGGAAAAAAACAAGTAAACAAACTCATCCTCTACTTCTCCAAAATATTGGTATTTATGTAAACTTTTGATGCTATGATATAGAAAATGAGCCGAGATTTATTATTACTAATAAGTTTATTGCCTTCAGTGCAACAGTAAGGATTTAAATTCTTCCAAGAAAAACTCAACTCTTTTTGAAGTTCTTGCTTAAATATTAATCAAACCTCTTGTTGAAGGTTAGTGGTTTTAAGAGGAACTATAAGCAGAATTTTCACTTAATTCAATTATGCATATGCTTTAGTCACTCCCATATTGATTTAAAAGCTAATTCATTTCTGATGCCTCATGACCCTCCTTTGTAATATCTAAAGTATTTTGCTTGTAGAGTCAGATTTAATTTGAAACAGCAGTGATGGAATACTGCTGATTCAACAGCATTTTCAAGAATCCCCATGACTCTTAAAAAGCTCACACCAGCTTTAAAATCAATTTTCAGGCAAATTACTTCACTTGCTTTCTAAGCTATTAGAATTTACTACTTAGTACTTTGAAAGGTGTTGACTCAGAATTTTTTGTAAAAAAAATACAAGATGCTTCTGCAGTTTCAAGGTATCAGGGTTGGTATTTCAGAAAGCAAAATTATCTCACCCTGTGTGCAGTGGAATACCATTATCTTCCTAACACTGAGGGAGTATAGGAATTTTAGCATCATCATATAACATCTTCAACAGTCTCTGAAGTTTTAGAAAGAAACATAGTAAAGCCACAACTTTCATTCAATTCTGTTTCTAGTAGAAAAAATGTGGTTACATCAAATTTGCTAACACCAGATGATTAAATTTGATGAAGTGGACAGTGACTTCTCTCTCAACCCACGCCTCAAAGTGTCTGCACTGTACAGATCATCTCATTGTATCTACACGGAGGCTGAGACAAGGAACAGGTACTGAACAAAAGAGGTCAATCAGTACTTATTTGTGTAAATAAAGAGAAGTGCTAAGCTGACTGGTACACGCTTTAAATAAATACAAATATTTTAAAATTACAGTTTGATTCACAAATGGTCCTAGCAGGGTGGTGGATTCGATTCATTCTACCTACATGAAGTGCACAAAAAAGCATCTGAGTCTGTGTGCTCCCTGATCCCAGTCCACAAGGATCAACATTAAATTATTCATTAAATTAGATGCTAACCTGATCTCTCTTCATTCCCTAAGAAAAAGAGTTAGACTGACTGTATACAACTTAGGCTTCTGACTTACACAACCAAGGTCTGGCAAGTATGAATTTTGTTCCAGAACATTCACTGAATACATGCTGTCAGCAATGCCAACACTGAAGACAAAGAAACATTCTTTTGAAAACACAGAAGAAACCAGGACTGACTACAAAAAGCACAAATGCCAAAACTCAAGAATATTTGGCAGAGCTCAGGAGATCAGATTCACAGAAAATATTCTCGCACTAAGTCAAAATCGAGGCAAAAATACCAGTTTGTGTATTTTTATTAACTCTTCTATATAAAAAATGCCTTCTTTGCACACACACACACAAAAAAAGTGTGAATATACCTTTTTATAAATAAGTATTATTTATAAAAATATATACTGATACTTATATAAATATGTGTGTGTATATACAAAAATTATTTAGTGGTATTCTTTTTCAATTATATATATTCTTTTTTATCAAAAACTATGGCTTTAACAAACACTCAAATCTTATTTCTTTTTCCAGTCCCAAAGACGAAAGCATGTGTGAAAGTTACCGTTAGAGACATTTTTAATCCAAAGTAGATTTGCAGCAAATAGTATCATAAAATTATAACTACATTCCCACTCCAGTTTTGGGGGTTTTTGTTTGGGTGTTTTGTTTGTTTTGGTTTTTTGTTGGGTTTTTTTATGATAGCACTTGTCCCTGTCCTGTGCAGGACTCAGAGCTGCACGGCCGCACCTGGCCACAGCTCCATGGCTCGGGGCTGTGCTGAGGAGCCGGCGCGCAGCTGCGAAGCTGCCCGCAGCGCTCATCCCCTTGCCGGGCTCACTCCGCCCGCAGCCGGAGCCGAGCCGCGGGTGCCAGCAGCGCCTTTCCCGACACATGCCGGCAGATGGTGCTCCGTGCCCAGCCCAGCACCCAGAGCCTCTCACCGCCCTCGGCCCCGCCACCAGCATGGTGCCACACCACGTGAGCGTGGCTCGGTTTTCCATTCAAACCCCCCATGCCTCTTCTGGACAATGCTGGGCTCCTGACAGTGCTGACTCAACAGCTCTGCAGGGAGGTCGTAACTCTGCTAAAAATCCTGCTCTGAAAGACACCCAAGTTTTAGAAACTTCTACTGCTGCCTACTGAGAAGATTAAGGCAAATCTAAAGCTCAGTCTGCCCATCAGCTTTGGTTACAAACTTCACACAAAACACACAGCTCTGGGTCAAATGAGCTACTTTTAATAAGTAACTTGCCCAAGGCAAAACATCATGCAGTCAACTGATTTTGAATAGGCTGTGAAATTCTACTACAAAGTTCTTCAGTGGCATTTTGATACTCATCTCTCAAGATTAACATTTTTACTCTGAGGCTGTCTGAATGTGTATTTGCTTTTGAGGTCTTCTAAGACAAGTTATTGTCAGGATCTTTAGCTTGTCAGAGTGACCCCGAGAAGAGTTCAAAAGTCTCTTTTCCCAGCCCAGCGCTTGAAGAAGGAGTCAGGGCTCTTCATTTCTTGGTCTCAAGGTTGTTTATTGTATCTTATCTATAAAATTCTTACTCCTGCCCTGCCGAGGTCCACTCAGCAGGACAGTTCCAGGTGCACTGCCTGCCCCCGGGGCAGTGTTATATCTTTATACTAAAAACTACGTGTACAATGTTTACAATTACTTTCCAACACCTATCACCTATGTTAGACAGCGAGCTGCTACTCTAAACCAATCTGTAAGTGCCAACAGCACAGCAGAAGGTGGAGGCCAAGAAGAAGGAGAGACTGGACACGCCCAGATCCCTCCATCTTGCCTCCCTTAATCTCCATTCTAAAAACCCCAAAACCTACTTTTTCACTATCATTCTACTTAATTTGTAATGGCTTGCAGATCTTCATCTAAGGTTGGTAATTTGCTCCATGGGTCATAATCAAAACCACAGGCATTCTGGGCTCTGTGCCAGGGTCTCTGAGACCCCTGACAGGGGTCTTGGCTGCTCAGGACAGCCAGAGGGATGTCCTGGATCCTGACAAGTTATCACTGCTTCTGTAGTTTAATGTTGTACTGAGGTAGCACAACCATGATTAAAGTTCAGTTCCCCACCTTTTCCCCCTTCCAGGAAAAAAAAAAAAAAAAAAAAAAAGTGGCATCAATCAGACCTCAGTAATCCTAATTAATATATTACAAAATTTTTTTACAAAATTTTTAAATCAAGCAAACAGCCTCCAAATTGGTACACCACTTCAGTACTTAGGAACCCAAATCTTCTTCAGCCTCTCTAGGCTCCACAGAAACTTACACAATAAATCAAGTTACCTGATTGTTCACCTTAAAAATCTTCTTTCCCCATTGCCATCACCTTATTTTACCTTTTAGCATAGAGCTCTCCCTCTCTCTTGCTACGATCCCCATCAGGTCTAAATACATGTGAGACACTTACTGTCCCATTTTATATTTGACAGAACTAGAGGTCATCAAACTGCTTTAATAACAATACTTATTCACAGCTATTTTGCAACAAGTGATATACCTTAATGAAAACTACACCAAACCCCCCACTCTGTTACTGAACACATCCAATGCTTCTACAGGCCACTCCATTACCAAAAGGTGATTTAAATGCATTGCAGGAAATAAACTCACAGATGTATATGTGCAATAGTAACAAACTGAAAGAAAGAATATGCTTAAACCACCACTGCTTGTTAATCATGCAGAAGTTCTCCACAATTTAATGTAGCAATTCAACCATGGTGCACTGAATGTGAAGCTTCAATAAGCTGCAGGGAAACATGGCAGGTAATTTATCACTACAGAGGAGTAAGTCTAATAAAACTGCAGTGGCCTATATGTAAAGGAGGTACTTCTCTGTTTCTTAAAATAACCTGAACCTGGCGTTCAGTCTTTGGGGCACAGAATGTCCTTGGGACTAACTGAGGCATTGCCTTAGTACTGACACGAAGCAGAAGGCCAGAAAAAAGGGCCAAAAAACACCTTTGCTGACTGGCTCAACTCTCAGCAATACCTCTTTGAAGGCACTGCACACTAATACAAAACCAGGTAACTTCAGGAATACCAAAAACTTCAAGAAGTAAATTTTTGCACTTGTATTCCAGGTAGGTCCATAAGCCTACTGTTTCTATAAGTTTGACATCTCCTAACATCTACCATCAGCCAGGAATATTCTAGTTAAATCATCTGGAAGATAGCAGTTACTCACATGCTGGCAGACCTTGCCCTAATTAGCTATGCTATTTAAATTAGTTGAAAGCTACATAACAAGTAGTTATACACTTTCAATTAGTTGAAAGTATATAACAAGAAAAAGCAACATTAAAAAAATCACCCTAATGAATATGAAACCAAATCACTCTTCACTTTGCTGCTGCAGAAATGCAAGGGTATTTCAGGTAAACTGGCAAATCTTTAAAGCTTGCCTTTAAATTAGTTTCAGAATTTCTTTTGTCTCAGGAGAAGGGATTAAACAGCACTAAATACTGTATATAGCAGAAGATTTTTTTTCACTTATATAGTTCTTGCATTGTTTCTTGGTCTTCAAAATAGATATTAACACCTGCTAATTTACATATGACATTAAAATGACTGCAAGTACCTTAAGGTCTTGCCTGGTTGCCAGCAGCTCAGACTCTTTGCCATAAAGATCCAGCTGCAGCTTCTCCATGTTTTCTTTATGTTTATCATGGGCCTTCTGTAAATCTGCTAGCTTGCCTTTCTCTGCTTTAAGCTCCTGTGCTGACAAAATGGACTGCTGTTGTAGTTTATTCTCCAGCTCTGCCTGAAACATAAGCATAGAAAGTTTTAGTTAAAGTTACAGACAGTAATGTTGGCTTAAGCATTTCAATAAAATGTATTTCTACTGCAAGAAGAGAATTTTGTTCTTCTTATGGAATAACAGTTCAGTAACTTGATATTTGTGATTTTACAGTAATGTTTTATACCTTATTTAACAACAAAGTTTAATTCACTACAAAAGACAAAGTGAAACACATTAAGACAAAACAATAAAAATTGGAATAATGTTTCCAAGTGTGCTGGTTTTGGCTGAGGTAGAGTTTTCTTCATAGTAGTTAGTATGGGGGCTGTGTTTTGGATTTGTGGTGGGAACAGTGTTGTTGTGACAGGAATGTTTTAGCCACTGCTTAGCAGCAGTTACACAGAGCCAAGGCCTTTCCTGCTTCTCACACCACCCTATGAGCAAGAAATCTGGAGGTGCACAAGAGTTTGGAGAGGGCACAGCCAGGACAGCTGATCCCGCTGACCAAAGGGAAATTCCATACCATAGGACATCATGCCCAGCTTATGAAGCTGGCAGAAGAAGGGAGGAGGGAGTGTGGAGTGATGGTGTTTGTCTTCCCAAGCACCAGCAGCTCTGTGGTGCTGAGTTGATGGCTGGGTTAAACCACAACACCAAGACCTAATGTTTCCACAGGCTGTCTAAAGCACAAATATGAACATGGAGCATTAGGCAGCCAAAGCTGGAGCCACATTTAACAGTGCATGACACACAGCACAACATTCTCTAATGTTGTAAGACATTTGAACTCTTCCCATTATGGTTTATGAGTTTTACACTGTCACTCAGATAATTTTGGTATAATATGAGAAGGCTTGGTTTAAAACTGGCATGGACATTTTAAAACACTGCAGAGTTTGTCTAAAAATACTCTCACGAAATTCTACTGCTTTATAAGAAAAAGGCAGCTTTTGCTTTGTTCCTGAGCAAAAAACCCACATTCAATCTATGTTATTTTATCCCTTCACTAAAATTCAATTCCTATGGAATTGATATTTCAGCACTGGTTCTTTTCATTATTGCTGTTGATGTTGTTGTTTTTATCTCCAACAGCATCTGAAGACCTCACTTCGATATCCTGAACTTACCATTTCCAACAAGACTACAGCAAACAGAGTTTATCACAAAGTTATTGACATAAAAGCTTCAATATTTATCAGAGGAATTTACATTCATTTTCTTGTAAGAGTAAGAAAGGACAGTCTTACCTTTTCTAAAAGGGCAGTTTTTAATTCAGCTTGCAATGTTTCACTATGTTTTTTCTTCTGCTCAAAAGATTCTTTTAACTCTCTCAGCTTTCCCTGGAGATGTTGCTCACTTTTTTCTTTTTCCTTCAGAAGACCCTGGATTTCCAGTACTTGTGCTCTTGCTGAATCAAGGTCTACAGACAACTGCTTAGAAATCTATATTCAAAAACATTAAGTAACTGTATGTAATTTAAATTTAAATCACTTTTTGTACATGCTGTTCACAGAACCAGACCATCCCACAGTGCCACTGCTGTTTCATAGCTATGTGGTTGAACACTGGCAAGCAGATTTTAAGAACTGCCATAACACATTAAAATAATCTGTTATTCCAAATTTACTACCCAGAGATCAACAGCAGTCTTTTTTATCCACTCTAAATTAAGATCAGGCAAGTTTTCTCACACCAGCAGTGACTTGGGCTCTCCTGCTGCCAACTGTAGCACACACCAAGCTCATCCTTCTGCACTCTCCACTGAGCACCACAGCACTTCAGCTGAACGAGTGAGGAGCCAGGGAAGGAGCAGCAATAGTCACAGAGCAATTACCATCACACCTGCACACCCCCAAACCTCTTTCAGACAGTAAGTGTCCATCACAGTCTATCAAACTATGTCCATTGATCAAATCTTTTCTGATTCCTTTAGGGAACAGAAGATGCCTTAGGTAAAGAAATCCATGAAAGCAGATGTGTCCTTCAGGCTGCCAGCTGCACTGCATGGTCTGAATGCTATCTTTGAAAAAGAAGTACATTTGGTCCTTAGATAGTCACAAGCGACTTACACAAGTTTGAAAAAGCAATTCAATCCTTCAAGGATATCTGAAAATGTCCTGCCAACTACACTGAGAACATACTGAATAAGCCTGAGAATAAATAAGAATAAAGTAGATGTAAGGATATGAATAACAACTTTTATTGTAAGGAAATAGAAAAACGAAAAAATGAGGACACAGTAATACCACATAACCATTTCACTAATGAAAAAACCTGAAGAGCTAAAATCCCCTGCCACGGTATGTGGAGCACTGAAAAGCTCCACTGAAAAGCTTTTTATATTTTAAAGCTTCACATTACCCTCTAGGAAAGTTTTAGTATCACCTTATTTCAGTGCCAAAGATAGTATACAATTTGAGAACTGAAACATCTTTGTCTCTTATCAGTCCCAGCAGGTGAGACTGAAAATCAATCTTTTAAACATTTATTATTATTGGTTTTTAGATTTTTGAAACTAAGCAGACAACTTACCACCTCTTTTTTCTCCAGTGAGTTTTTCAATTCATTCCTCTCTTTAGCTACAGACTCTGTTTGTATCTGAAGTTGGTGTTTTAACTCTTGGCAAGACTTTTCCTAAAAAACATAAGACAAGGAAATATTCCTGTTAGCTTCTACGACTGTGTATGGAGCATTTTTGCAGGAGTTCCACATTCTGAAAAATACCGCTTTCATTTCCAATGAAAAATCTTGCATTCTCAACTGCAGACACTTTCAGCTCAAAACCTGTCAAAACTTTAAGGGGCAAATCTAAGGCACACATTAGATGCCCTATACTAATAAACTCAGCCAGGTGCCAGAGTTTCTCTGATTAGGGATAGCCTCCCTGTTTGAAGCTTCTCCTTCTTGATGAAGTAGTGGGCTCATTGGTCTCGCTCAGGATCTAAAATTCCTTCATGTTCTAAAACTCACAAGCAAGTAAATTCGCAGACCTCCATGCATATGCAACCATATGTTAAATCCAAATACTACATAATTAAGCAATGGAGAGCCTCTAAAAGACTCCATAACTAGAAGCAGAATCTGGACTACTGTCTTTAAATCTAAACTGGAGAGAAAATCCTTCAAGTTTTTAGGAGAAACAAATCTTTAAACAGCAGTTACTAAGAAAAGCAAAGAAAAGAGCTTTCCTTCAAAAGCTGAATGAATAAGAGAAAAATGTTCTTTTTAACTAGGAGGAGATCAGAATAAAAGCAGCTCTGAATGGCTCTGGAAAATGGTGACATGTAAGATGGGAAGAGTATGAGGAAGACAGCCCTTGCCACATCTGAGACAACGCTGTCAGAACAACTGTATTCATACAGTGCCCATTCATATCACCAAGGCAGAAGAGGTAAGAAAAAGGTGTATCTTAACCCTAGTAATAGTTTACTTTCTTTACCATAATAGGTTGCTCTGGTGGTCAAGTACTTGTTATACTGTTACTTTTAAGACCTTTCTGAAATTCAAATAGTTCTAGTACTCCAATAATACCTTAAGCTAGGCATTCCCCAAATGACAGATGATGTTACTCTCTGCCTGCAGCTTTCCAGCATGTCCAGACAAACACACAGGAAGTTCTATATACGAAGACTTCAGAAAGGGAATTAAAATGGCCTCAGAAAAATAACTCCTTCAATACAACAGCATTTTAGCAAAGGTTCTAAAACTTTGTGTTGTTATAATACAGCTGATGCATTTTTTAAAAGGGAATGTTTGCCATCAAACTGTTTCACCACCATTTGTCATCTCCATTTAGTTTCTTCATTATGTCAAAGGTGTGCAGGAAGAAGAAAGGATTCTGTTATGTGATATGACTGATGCTTACCACTGTAAATATCTAGGCAAAAATTTAAGGTGGGAAACATGTATGAACTACTAAAAATCACAATTTGGTCTTCCTCACAGTACTAAATATTCATGCATTTTCATCATATGTTGAACATCATACACTGTTTTCAAACAGAAAGCAAAGTCATTTTATCAGATATACACCAAACTTAATGCCTAACTAAAGAATCTACTAACCATTTCTGCCATAGCTGCTTTTCCTTTTTTAATTTCGTTTTCTAATTCCTCCTTTCTTTTTTTGAAGGATTCAGAGCTTTTTGAGAGCTTATCTTTGGTATGTGTAAGGTCCTTTAATAGAGTGTCCTTCTCTAACTTCACTTGTTGCAGCTCTGATGTGGCTGCTTGCATTTTACAATCAAGTTCCTTGAGCTGTTTACTTGTATCTTGATTTGATTTCTCAAGGTTTTGTTTGAGACTGGCCTTTTCTGCCTCCTGCTTTTTAATTTGTTGATTTGCTTGGTCAAGGGCCTCAGATTTCTTCTGCAAATCCAGTTGAGCATTAGACATCCTGCAAATACAAAAGGATAAAACATATTTTTTTAAAGTTCTTTTTCACGGATTCTTTTGTATCCTTAAATGTCTCTATTTTCACCCATGGCCATTACATCTCTCCAGTTAAGACAAAACAGCAATTTCAGAAACTAGTTTTGAGATGGTTCCTTCTTCCTCAACTATCATGAAGAGAAACTACCCCTTTGCTGCTTATGCAAAAATCACAAATTTGTATTTGAAAAAGGTTACAGAGGTATAGATATTTCAAGATGGACCTCACTACATCAAACTGTTCAGCCATTTAGCTGACAACAAGCACAGTGAATAAAATGAAGAAGGGTAGCGAATCACAGCAGTCAGTGACTCCTGTGAGACAACATGGCAGATGGAGTGAAAGACAACACATGAGATACAACACAGTTCTTGTAGCAGAGGGGACACAGCACTTATTTACGACTTTTTGAAATCACAGGAGAGAAGCAGAAAATTTCAACTCTAGTCCAAACTGCCTCAGTTTTATGTCTGACTTTGAAAAGTACTATAACACAGGAAATGCATACGCTTCTCTTGCTGCTTCAAGTTGTTTACTCAGTTCTGCTGTCCGGAGATCTAATTCTTTGTTCTGATGTTGCTTTTGCTGTAACTCCTGAAGAGCTTGCTCTTTACTTGCTCTAGCATCAAGAATGTCACCTTCAAGTTTCTGAGGGAGAAAAATAAAAAGATAGAGCCATCAGAACACAACCAACAAAATAAAAATAGCAATAAAAAGCAAAGTCATCTAGTCTGTGAGTGCATTAACTGTAGAAAGCAGTGACAACTCTCACATATCATCTGTTTCATTACTTCGCAATTTATCGTTCACTGTTTAGTTCCTGCTAATCACCTGCTCCTCCAGAATTGAACTATTGTGGTAAAACACTCTAAAAGCATCTCTAAATAGAAGGCCAAGCAGGCGTTTTATTGCAAAGTAATAGACAAAAAGTTTTACAGCAGAAGCAAATACACAAACTAAAGTGGTGAAGAAATTCTGTGCTTGCCTGGAAGAGGTTTTTCTTCTGTTTTTTTCCAAAGCTACTTTTTCACTCACATGGAATATAAAGAACACAGGAGCCTTCAGTAAATGGGCACTATTTAGACTCTTCAACATACTGACTGTTTTACAGGCACTTCTGCTTTCACACAGAGGCCACAAAACAAAGTGGCCAAGTTTCTCCATAAAATTTCCTGAGGGCTTTTTGTTTTCAATTTTTTTTAAATGCCACATATTCAACTGGAATAATCTCAAAGAATGGTGATGATGCCAAGACTTTACATAGAATTGCATTCCTGTTGACAGCATCAACAACCCTGCTCAGTTTCACACTTCAGCTACCAGGAACCCCATAAAACCATACACAAGCATGCTCTGTATTTCTCCCAAGCATTTGTGTCCATTGGCTACTTGTGAAACTTCAGCAAAAGAATGAAAACTAAAAACACAAATCAAAGTAGGCAAGAAAAAAACCCAGTGTCCAAAAGAAGAGATGCAAGAACAAAATAATTATGCTGACAATTAAATGCATGACAGCTTTAATTTTTAATAGCATTGGATTTAAAATTTCCTGCAGGGAAAACAATCTTCATTCTCTTCTATAGAGCACAAAAGCTAGGAAAAACACCCAACTCAGTCTTGAGCAAAAAGACTACCAACCTCCCTCAGAAGAGACAGACAACACTGCAAAACCAGTTCTGCATGGCTCCCATGATCCCTGAATCATATGCTTTTGTGTGTTACAAATTTTGACTACCAAGATTTTTTTTAAATAGTGAAGAAAGGTCTAAGGTCTCTCCTAAATTTTAAAGCTCTCAAGCATCAGGACTAATCCATGTCCTTAACTGAAAATACTAGTATATCAAAACACCATGAAGTTCTGCAAAACTTCTGCCACAATTATGTGGACTTTAAAATTAAAACTGATTTCAGAAGTGGAATGCAAAACTCCAGATCAAGTTAAGAGATCAAAGAGTGATAAATCTTGCTAAAAAACCTACTGAAAGGCTTCAGAAATAAATTAAACCAGACAGGCAGTGTAAAGCCAGGCTAGCCAATGTAACACATATTCCCTGCTAGTGCTTTTAAAGTGTGCAAGTTCGACTTGAAAACTCAAATTTTGGGATATATTCATGTTCCCTCATAAAAATTTCCAGGTAGCAGAAAGGTTGGTAGAAGCACACACACAGGAAAATGACACAATAGTGGCAGTGTCATAGACCTACCTTCTTAATGTGAGATACTAGCATGGAAGAAGAGAACAGGATTAAATGGTGAATCAGGAAATATCAGTGAGAAAGAAAACCCACAATAGTGATACTGCTATAATCCTTCCCCCCTAATTTGAGCATAGCTTTTACCACATGCTGCCTAACAGCAGAGATCAGTTTCTGTAGGTCCAGATATTATGTTCAATACAAACCTTAAGCTGTGCCTCTAGTTCTTCAATTTTCTGTTCTAAAGAAAGGCATTTTTCTTTGTACTCTTTAAGATTGGCTTCCAGCTGAGTACAGTACTCCTGCTTGTCATTCAGCTTAGCTGTCACCTGATCCAACTGAGCACTGACCTTATTTAACTCCTGGGTAAAACAAAATAAAAGGTTGTTACTTTTTAAGTAACTTCAAAAATTACTAATGTCACATATGCTTTAAATGATCTAATGTGTTCAAATTAAAAAGGAAAATAATATTTATTTTTTATTCTGAGGGGCAGGATACTGAAAGGAGAAACACATACACATGCACAAATTCCCTCTGTTTCACTGAAAAAATTCTTTTAAAGCCTCAATATTCTCTCAAACCTTACAGGCTCTGAGCTAAATGTTAACAAAGGTGTTTGAAGTTGTAAATGAAAAGGAATTGTAGATAATAAAGGTGCTAGATCCTCAAATTAGTACAGCAGTAACTAGCAAATGACATTAAAAAACTGAGATAAAATTTTTGATGTCTTTCTTTGTCATGAAATTAACCATCAAAGAGGAAAGCCAATAATATGGAAATGCTCAGTTCCCCACATACCAGGGATGATTTCAAAACATTTTGTCCAACACAAAACAAATAAATGCTGCAAGAGACACAAACACATTCACCTAGTAACCACTATGACAACAGGTACATCGAAGTTCACTGTTCCCCAACCAAGCTGATGTATTTGGTTATTAATTAATTCTTTAATGGCTGCAAAAAGTTGTCTCCTGTTTACAGTGACTAATTACATTCCCATGCTACAAAATGGTGCTATATTAATATCTGCTGGTAATGTTTCCATGAAGACCACAGCAGCACTGATTTTAACTATGCAAATATTTGATTCAACATATGGTAAAATGCTTCCCTAGTATTAAAACACATTAAAAAACATGTAATTTTATCACCAGCCTTTTGGCCCATAGAGAATTCTTTTTGAGTACCAGCAGCTGATAGGAAATTTATCTGAGTCAGCAGTAAGAGTTAGGAGTTTTTGCTTCTAGTAAGGGCATTCTACAATCTTTTCTTCATAGCATACACACAGGAATTGAATAATACCTCCAGAATGCCTAAGGAAAGCTTAGATTCTGAAGAATAACCCTACAGCAAGAAGCAGACTCCCAAGTAAATTCCTTGCACTGCGAAACATATCTGCTCCAGAGCAGCAAAAGGATTGAATGCATGCCACATGGTTAAAATATCCTAAATTATCATTTCCCAATGCTTATTCATATGTTCATTGAGTTTGTAAACAGACTATTCTTAGGCTTTTAAGTAGTTTTTAGGTAACATAGAAAATTTATGTGTCGCTTAATACCTGTTGTTTATCTTGCAGTGCATTCTGGGCAGTGTCCAGATGGTTCTGTAGATCTGCTCTCTGAGCAGCTTTTGATGCTTCTGCTGAAAGTAGCAATTCTGTCTTTGCTTTTACCTGAAAGATATATTGTACTTCACTAAAACATCTGTTTTACCACAGCTCATTCTAGTTTTTTGATAGCCATCAGTAAGTTTAATAGTAAAATCAGCAGTATTCATGTGTTAGTGCATATATTTCCTTGTAGAAAAATTCCCCTTTTCCCAAATGGGAAATCACAACCAGAATTTTTCATCACCATAAAATACAGAGATCCATTACCTGCACATCAAGTTGTGACACTTTCTCTTTACTTTCATTTAACTGACTGGTTAGTTCAGTGATGTTTGTTTCTAGGGAAAGCACACGATCTTGAGCAGCTCTTAGGTGTGCCTTTTGTTCCTGCACTTGTTCATGCAAATTCTCTTGGGCTTGTTTATGACTTTCTGATTGATTTTTCAGCTTTTCTGTCAGCTGAGTTACCTGCAGTGGAAAAGCAAACAACATGAGAAGGCTGGAACACCATGGCCAAGGAAGTAAAAACTTAATTTTAGTGTGTCTTATTACGGCTCTGGAGACTCAATGCTATCACATTTCTTTTCCTGAACCATTACAGTAAAGCTATATTGTTTACAACACCAGAGTTTAAATAGGTTACCAGCTGAAAATAGAAGCAAAAGAGAATTGTCAATTTGGCCTTACTGTAACAGAAACAAAATACTAAGGAGACAACAGATGCAGGCTAAACTGAATTTTGGTGTTGAAAGCTGGAATCAAACCTCTTTTTAAAATGAGTGAAACAAATGTATGTATTATTTTTATTTACATATAGTTATATTTATAGTTTTTTACAAGCATACACATATACAAATAAATATATAAAGTTATGTGTATGACTATTTGTAAGTACATATTATAGCATATGTACAAATGAAATATCTAGTTATTCCTTTCCCTATGCTGATAGCATGGAAGTCACTAAAGCACATGTCATGTGAAATTTACAATAAGATCTTTAAAGCAAGTTTAAAGTAATGGACTAGTATAGAAAAGATTATTGCCATATCTGATGAGGCAGAAAAAAAAGGAAACAAGATTCCAAAATAAGAATGAATGAAAAGAACCAGATCTTGACATTCTTACCTGTATTTGTAATGCATGGTTTTTCTCTTGTAGCTGGTTAAGAACTGCAGTTTCTCCTTCACCAGCTTGAATTTTTGCATATAAGTCCTCTCTTTCCTTTTCTAGCAGAGAGATGTTGTCCTTACTTTTTTGAAGCAAAGCCTCAAGATTTTGAATTTTTTGGTCCTTATCTCCAATTTGTCGTAGAACTTGCTCCAGATCATTCTAGACAAGAAGATAATAGTGTTTATTTATAAGGACCTTAAAAATTGGGCCTAATGCATAAAATAATGGATAAATTTATCAAACACCTTCCCTATATTCTAGTCCAGATTTAGAAGTAAATTTCTTGAAACTAATATAATTCCTGCAAGCCACTTTTAGAAAGAAGAAGTATTTAGCATAATGAAACCCTGGAACCCACTTTCACATGAGGAAACATAACTACATTACCTGGGCTTCTCGTAGTTTTGCTGTTGTATTTTGCTGAAGGGTCTGCTGCTCCTGGTGCTGCTGCTTTGCCTTTTCTAATTGATGTTGCAATTCTGTGGAATTTGCTGCTTTTTCCTTTAGCTGAAAAAAAAGCCCAAAACCAAATACCAAACAAACCAGACTAATAAGTGGAAAAAAAGCACCACTCAGTATACCAGTTGTACTCAATGTTCACTCTAACTATAAACTATTTTAGTGTAAACATGGATTTTTAAAAACTTGTATAAAAACAAAAATCTGTAACACTAGATCAAAATCTAATCAAAGCATTCATTACAATTAATTGGTGAGATTCTATATCACAAGCAAGAACTATAAAAGAATTATCAGATGCATGTAATTTAGCTCTCAAATAATCTAAAACATAAGAAATTTTTAGTATTTTTTTGCAATAGTTGTTAAGATGTAACATGACTGATAATAAAGATACCTGTAAAACAACATTATTATTACTTTTTTTGGCAATTTCAGTAGCAACTGTCAGTCATTATTTTAGTAGCAACTTCAGTTTAGCAGTATCTCCACTTCTATACTAGTCAAGGCTTTGCAAATTAGCTACAGAAAAGTTTAAAGCTTTGACAACATACCACTCAGATATTTGGCCAATCCCCCTACAGCCAGCAGAAAATCAGCAACATATACAAGATATTCATTAAAACAAATAAAAATTAATAAAACAAGTGTTTTCTGCCCATCCAACCCACACTGATTATTAACTATCAATGACCTGCTGTACCACGCTTACTTTTTCTTCATGTAGGGCTTTATCTTAAAAAAATATCTACATACAAAACTACCTATATGGGCCTTTGTGCACCTAAGTTATTTTTTCACAAGACCCTTAGACAAAGCTCATAAGTGCAAAATGAACAATTTTTATTTGTTAAGCACCACAAACACACATACATCTGTGAAGACAAGCAGTGTCTAAGCAGATTTTGATAATTTTACTGTAAGTCCTTGACAGTATTAGTCAAAAGATATTCCCATGAAAACAAACTTCATAAACTGCACTATCACCACAAGTGTGTGTAGAGACATATCATATTCATAGAGAACAAACTATAGAATCTGCATAAAAAGCCCTACCTGCTCTTCAGCACGAGAAAGTTTTAGCTGCAGGTCAGCCACCTGCTGCTCTCTGTCCATCAGTTTCTCACTGGACAGCTGCCTCTGTTCCTTGAGCCGCCCGTGCGCTTCCCCCAGCTGCCGCTCTGTTTCTAGGAGTTTACTGTGCAACTGCAAAAAAGAGTCACCCAGTCTTCAGTCATTCCTTAGCCAACAGTGATACAGACTCATTTCGTGCAATGTTTATGTGAAGTTTTCATAACCCAGACCAAAACAAGTCCATGGCCTCCTGAAGTCATGTATGTACCTCATACACCTCAGAAACACAAATCATGTTAAAAAAACAGCATCAACAGCACAGGCAAGAAGAAATATTTTAAAAAGTGAGTTGCAAGGACCCAGAAACATCCTCATTTATCTACAGGAGCCCTTCAAAACAAGTCACAGAGATTTAACAGAAAGAGAGTGGTCCTTCAAAAGCATAAGGACTGTTGTGTAAAATAATGATGCTTTGAGCCATCTTGGCTTATCCAGTTCACCAGCTGACTCCTGTAGATCCAGTAGCTGAAACACCCTGCCTTTACCTGCTCCACTGCCTCCCACAATACGCTGTTCTGCTAGAATATTAAGAGTGTAATTTTTAGTTTGAGCTGGCTACATCAATGGCATTCATTCTCTGCACTGAACAGATACATGAACAGTCAGTGTAGGGTACACGGCAGCTTTGGTGGCTTATAGTCCAGCACTTTCCAGCAGCAAAGAGTAAGTAGGTGGATGTGCTCTTCCAGCTGGACACAAACCTGCTTCATGATTTTAACGGTCATCAAAAGCAGTACTGCACCATCTTCAAAGTGCAAGGATGACCTTTTACAATTCACTGTTCTAAAAAGCTCTTTTCATAAAATCAGCTGACTCTACATGAAACTGCTGCTATAGGTCCTGGGTTGCCTCCTGCCTACTTCTACATGAACATGTTCAAGGACACAATGACGTGTTAACTCAGTGCAAAACCAGAGAAAGGATCGGACCATGCAGCACAGCAAGAACTTTCCATAGGTTGTGGGAAAGCTGTGAATGAAGCTTGCTCCTCCTATGCATTTATGTCCAAGGCCCTTGAACCATTCACTTTTTAACTCCAGGTCGTCCCTTCAATACCCCTAAACCTTCCTCATGCTTCCCTTAAATCCCTACTAATATCTATGCAAAAGGCAGCCCAATTTTACTGTTCACTGCAAGCAATCACTGTTTGACCAACTGGCTGCCCAGCAGAGCAGAAAAAGGAACAGTAATTGTGATACCATTACACTTTCCACCCAGGTGTTAAGTTGGAGTGAAGCCTCTCTCCTGCTGCCTGTTTCCCAAAGAATTTAACACTGAAGTCCTTTGGGCCATGTGTCAAAATTTAGCTCAATTTATCAAAAATCGCAAAAGTTTAAAGGGTTTGGAGACAGAGAAATAAATGTATCTATTACTTACCTCCTTAAAAAAATCAAACTAAATTATCTCCACACAACCACAAAAATCATGAGTGGAAAGCTGTTTGGCATATGGCCAAGATGGTGACTGCTAACAGTGACTGTACAGTTAAAGAAGAGATAGAAGAGGGAGGATAGGATGAGGAAAGAGACCATATCTCACAGTAACTAAGAACATTTGTCTTTATTTGCAGGATCACCAAATTATAAATATTTCCCCCTCACTAAAAATACAAACAAGAACTGTAGGAAAAAACCTATTGAAGAAAGGGTGCAAGAAGATAACTATTAACTGTCCATTCTTATGCTGATACTGGGAGAAAATGTTTGGAAAGAGAGCAATCAGTAACAATATTTTACACTAGCTACTTTTATTTGCAGACATGGTTAAGTATTTTTCAGGAAGTTTAAGGTGACATTTAAGTAAAAGGGACCATAAAATCCAGGATTAACCTATGCTACAGAATGCAAAAAAAAAAATCATGAGAAAATATCTAGACTTTTAAAGATACAATCAAGTAGATTCAAATTTCTCAACAAAATTTAGTAGCAATTAACACTTCTTCAAAACTGAAGGAGTCCATACTCTCTCATCCACACCCTTCTCCTACTGCTGTGCTGGAACCACATTATAACTGAAGTTTCTTCCATTGATATCACTTCTTCCACATCACCCCAATTCTAACATGTACAAACTTAAGCAGATACGCACTCATTCAAATGAATTTTGAGAAGATGACAAGAATTCTTAAAAAATGTGATTTGACCAAACAACTCTATACATACCTCCATAAAAAGAATTCATAATGCTAAATATAAGCTAATGGGCTACATGCATAAAAAGGTAACCCCAGTGAAGTACCAAGTGAATAAATATGAGGAATTTAGTCTTTTCATTGGAATAGTAAATGAACTCTCCTTTGTAGGAAGAAAAAAGAGAATATGTTTATGCTTAGCTTTTCTTTTCTTTTATACCAGGTACAAAGGATTTTTTTTCCTGCACTATTCTTTTACCATACAATTCTAAAACAAATCCTGAAGTTCAGTGGCTTGTTAGGTTGTCTTCCTTCCCAATGGTATCACCAGAGAATATGTCATGCCTCCATTTCCTATCATAGGAATTCATTCAGCAATGCTTTACTCACCATCCTCCTCCTTAATTTTCCCACCCCAAAAATCCATCTTGAAAATGTCCTCTGAGGCTGAAGACAGATTTCAGCTCAACCTCTTGGCTATGATTCTATTGTCCAGGCAGTTTCACCAAATGCAGATAACTAACACAATTATCTCCTCTCATCCTGACAGAAGACTGATGGGAGAAGGAAGGACATTCTGGGGATGTAATACACACATAAATGTGGCTCAGCCAAGTCACAGTTCTTCCAAGATAAACTATACATAAGGAGCTTGCAACTTGATATGTTTCAGATTTTACAAAGGGTTGAAAACTCAGAAACACTCACTTTAACATAAATAAGCTTTAGCAAGATTAAAATGAAGTATGTCATACTAACAAATAAAGATATAATTTTTTACATCTCAAGTCTGGACATGATTACTGATACACACATATTTCTCCAGTCTAACACATTACTCTGCAAAAAAAGATAAACTGAATTCAACCAACCTCAAGTTTCAAAATGCTCAATGTTATATGAAAGTCCTACTTCTCTAAGTCATTTGACTCAGCAGAATAATAGGTTCTGGTAGGGGGGGGATGTATGCTCCGGATGCTTTCCCAGCTATCAGCAACATAAAGAGAAATTGTTTGGGGAGAAACACTAAGGAAGCAATATCAAAATTTCACATTACCCTGGCTTTTCCCACTAGGTATTCCCTACTACATTCACTACTCACACTTAAATCAAGCACTGTTCAGTTCTAATGTAAAACCAAGACTTGCTTTTCTCAGACTTCCTACAGAGTAGTAAAATGCAAGTGCTGGTTAATTGCTCTCCTTCAAATAAGGAAATGTAAGTGCATGTTCATGAGAAATATGCATTTACATTTAAATATGCAGGTTTTTTTAACTTATGAGATGGTTTTAAGGAACCACTCCTAGACCATCATGGGCTTAAGGAAACTTACCTGACTGAGCTCGCTTTGGAGTTGCAGGCCATGCTGCTCTTTTTCCTCCCTCTGCTGCTGGAGCTGTTTACATTCTGCCTTGAGATGCTGGTACTTTGTTTCTACTTCAGATAACTCCTCTTTAAGCTTCTGGCTTGCTTCTGCCTTCTCACTTAGCTCTGTCTGCAGTCTCTGTATCGAGGCTTCAGAAGCAGACAGCTTTGCCTGAAGCTGTTGGCAGTCCAGGTCCTTCTGGTGAAAACTTGCCTGCACATTCTTCTTACTCACAGATACTTCATTGTGTTTTTCTTCCAGCTGGGTGTAGTCCTGTTCTTTCTTCAGCAGCTTCTCAGTTAGACTCTGTGAAGAGAGTTACACAGCAATTCAAGTACAATTCTGTTTGCAGCTGTTCAACATATTATTCAAATTTCTTTGTAAGTGTTGATGCTGAACAGTGAAGAGCTTGTTCAAAAACAGTATTAAAGAAAATATTAACCTGTATCTTGTATTACACACATTGGTTCTAAAGCCCATACAGCACTCAGTTTCAACTCGAAATAATGTTTTTCATATTCTCACATAAATTTACTTCCTCTTACTGAGTACACACCACAAACTCTATTTCTGTATCCTGAAAACTAATTTGTTTTCCCTGAATGTTCAAACCAACTTAATTCCAACTGCAATTGCTTGGGGAAAAGTTGAAAAGTTTTCCACGCTAGCTATCTTCTGGGCTACAGGCCCTTACTGGCCTCTGCAAGGCAAGCCAAGCCCCATAATTATTGTGCTTTAAAAATGACAGAGAGAGAGCTCCAGCTGAGCTCAGAAAACTGATCCTATATACTTATATATACCTCTGTTTTTCTCAGTATAGCTCCTGAAAATATAAGAAACAGCTTTCTTTCTTGAGGTTGTACATGAGCTTGAAAAATTTCCTATCAATGCACAGAAATATCTTCTCACACTGCAACTGGATTATAAACCAATGTTCATATCAAATGTATTATATTCTATATATTCTCCATTTAATGTGCTCTATCATGAATTAATGACTCCTCCCTGATAGATTTTTCAAGGATGACACACTGTTCAAAGTGGAAGCAATTTCTCCTTCTGTAAGCTAGTCTTACCTTTTCCAGTTCTAGGTCCAACTCCTCCAGGGCCAAAATTCCATAGCTAGCACATAATTCTTATGGATACCACCTTACAAAAAGCTGCATTAAGAGATGGCTGCAAACTGCTTTAAGTCACTAAAACTGTAAGAGGAAAAGTAGCTCACTGCCACTTCTCTTCTTCCAGTTCCTCAGGTGGTGTTTGGCATTAACCTGACATGGCAGAGGACTCTCTCTTAATGTGTGGTTATCTTATGCATCAATCTGTTTCACTCCTCATTGTTAATGAAATACCAATAGATTCAGGAAAGGGCTCTATATTGTGTAGCAGCACTTCTGCCAAAAGCTTGATTCATTGTTGCTGGTCTACGGAAAATTACAGCATGACAACTCTTACTTTTCAGTTCTATTCTTGATTTAGTGAGCCAAACAGAGTCATCCTGCTAAAGGTAGTTTAATTTACCAAATTTTAATTTCACCCTCTTATATTTTTTGCAAATGTTTTAATATTAGATTACATCAAATACACTCTGTTTTGTCCCTGCCCTTTCCTTTTTCCAAGGCTGACAAGGTTCCTAGTAAAGGCGTGTATGTTATATCCAGTTCATATCCAGTGTTACATGCAACATGAAGCAGTACACATCTTTGTCCTTGCTTCCTGTCCCCCTTTAGTTCCATTTTTACCCCCACAATACATGACTTCTAAACACAAATACAAAATGCAGCAAGCTCAAAAGCTCTGGTAACAGCTCTCAAAGAATGTAAGTTGAGAAATTTCTGGAATTAATTTCCATTTTCTACCATTCATTATGCCAGTAAATGGCCTGAAAAATATGATGAAAGTATAATCTAAAAGCTAAGAAACTAGAAAACCAACAAAGAGAACTGAGAATATCTTTCAAATATGATTTTTATGCAAATGTATTATTTCCAGGGGTACTACTTTTAATGTGTGAGATGGCAATTCTGCTTAATGATAGGTAAGCATGAACTACAGCTATTAAAAATTTGCAATCATAGCAACCTAAAGAATTTCAGTTGTAGGGTATGATGATCATTAAAATATGCTGTTTGCTTGCACATTATAGCAATCCAATTGTTAAACAAAATGGCAAATGAATTCTCAACTTCTGCAAGAAGATAGTCTTCAGTGTTTCCAATGGCATTGTGTGATGTGGTTCCATCTTAATGTGAGCTGACAAGCATAGGAAATAATAACATTCTCACCTGATTCTTCTGTTCTAGCTCTTTAACTGAACTTTGAAGTTTTTGCAGCTCCTGAACATACACAGCTACTTCCTGAGGTCCTTTGGCAAGTTCAGCTCTTAATTGGTTAATAGTAGCCTGAAAAGACAAACAGAAAAATCCACATTTAAAACAAAGCTTTCCATGCATAATCCAACAAAAGAAAGATGTCTGGTAGTAAAATAAAAATACATTTTCTATACAAATAAAATGCCTAGGGAAAAAAATCACCAGTAAACTAAGCTCAAAGCACCATCAGAAGATTCACTGAGTGTAATTTCCCAGCTGAGACTTATTTATATCCTGTTCTGGAAGACAAAAATCTGACTCAATCCAAAATGCCAGCAAATGCCAGCTTGAACCCAAAACTGATGAAAATCATAACAGATTATCCATTGATAATTATCACAGTTCTAGCCAAAGGTGAAACCTTTCCAAGTCATTGCAGTTACATGGCCAAAATCTTGGCCCCTCTAGGAAGGGAAATGCGCTGGAAAAGGCTCTAGAAGCAAGAGCATCTGGCATTTGATGCAAACTTGGTGTGTGACTTTTGGACACATCAACCCTGCAGGTCAGCATAATCAGAGGAACAATACTACCCCATTAAACAGGATCAGTACAGAACAAAATATATCAATGACCGCACAGTATTTGAATACAGTAATGGAAAAAAACAAGAAAAGCACTTTAGGGCATAGCTACCCTAAAACATGTTGTGTATTAATGCACTCATTTCAAATATACTATATAGCAGTGACCTTTTATGAAGAAGCTTTCTTTCCCATTGTTCCCATAAGCAGAGATTTCAGCACAAATGCATAAACACTGAATCCAAAAGTGAACTAAAGCAGAACAGAAGCAATAGACAATGACCATCCAATTTACAACCTTCCTAGAGAAAAAGGAACACCAAAGAGAACATAAGAACAATTTGCATATAGTGCATATAGTTTACTGACTGTCTGTAACTCTGTGCCTCACCATGCTGTCTCATAACAGAGCTGTTAGCTAAAACATATCCTTGGATTGGTCTTTTTTGACCAAACATTCCAGGGTGTTATCAGAAAACAGTATGGTTATTTCATACCGAGACAATATAATGCAGAAAATGTGCAGGTAGCTTACAAAGGACACCACTGCAGCCTTTCCAACTAGAATCATAATTTAAATGCATAAAGATCCATTTCTTGTTCACAATTCAGTAAGACAATCTCACATTTCTTTCTTAACAGGGAAATATATCCTGGGTAAATATTCAGCCCTGGTATTTTCTTGCTGATGAGTCTGTATGAATAATGAACCATTAAAAAACCAGGAATGCATCTGTTTAATAACATCTTGAAATTGTCTTGATATGACAGAAATTTGCTATGAAAATTAAATGCTTCGAAAAAAAATTACCTCAAATTTAAGTGTCTCTATTAGAAAGCAGAAGGATAAAATGGATGGATGAAAGATGGAAAGAAGCAGTTGCAAAAGCTGCACACTTCCTCAAATTTGTTTTATAAATATTGCAGTGTTTCTAATGCCTTTGCTTAGTGGGAGGGAAAAAAAAACCTCAAACAAAAAAAACACTAGTCCTGGCTTTATTAAATTTACCCTCAATTTAGGCTACTAATTTTGTTTACTTCTTTGGGCACTCAAGATAACAATCAACCCTAGCTGCTTCATTTATTGAAGATTTATAAGATACTGAAACAAATCCCAATAAGCAGAGAGATTCAATAGCAATGCTTAGCTCCAAAGCAGTGCAGCTGTTTTCATTACACATTCACAATGCAGGAGCAACTATAGTGAAAAACTAAAGATGAAAGGAACCGCTCAGTATGAATATTCATGTGAAAGACACAGATGCTCGTTTCAGAAACAGCTCTGAAAAAGATATAAACACCCAGCAGATTTAGGTGACAATTGTAGACTACGCTGCTCTTCACATCCCTCTCCTGCAGTATTTGAAGATGCTCATATAGGGCTAATATGATTTTTGTTATTTTCACCCATACTGAGCATTTACCTTATTTTAAAGATATTTACTTTGAAACCAATATTAATATGCATATTCTCAGCCAGCCTGTAAAATCAGCCAAGAATGGTGTATAAACCACTTTGAACTTTCAGTCCTTGATGTGTTCTTGAAGAGCAAAGCTGAGATGAAACATGGCCAAACATTTATGTCAAGCACTGCAGCCAATGTGGCCATGAAGGACTTCCAATTCTTATTTTCTTATGAGTAACAATTAGCAAAATTGTGTTTTAGCCAGGAGCTGTTTGAGACAGTTTGAGGAGTGAAGATATCCTTAAAGATCCAAATCTGAGATGCTGCCTCCCTTTTCTTCTGCATGTTATGGAAGTGGAAGTTGTAACTGATGGAAGAGCAGAATAACCAAAACTTTTGAAGAAGTGAGAAGATTATATTAAATGCTTTTCCATTATGATTAATAATCATAATGAAATAATTAATCATAATGAAATATGCTTTTTCATTATGATTAGTTATTATTTTCCATTTTCACATGATAATCGCAGCAAAGCTAGAACACACATCTTTATGTATGATTATTACTATTATAATGCATGATTATTGTACCTCAGAGTTAGCCTGCTCAGCCTGCAAGTGCTTGCACTCATCTTTCAGCTTTTCAGATTCTCTTTCACGTTCCAGCGTCATTTTATCCATCAGTGTTTGAACTTGGACCAGCTCCTTTTTCAGGACAGCCACATCTTCCACACCAGGCCTTTGTAGCTGAAAAGATGGGAACAGTGAGCAACAAACATCACAATGGCAGACACGCTTCCAGAGTCAATGGCATTTCTAAAAATCTATCAAATAATCCACTTATAGACAAGGTGACATATACAGTATTACAGCTAGGCTTAATAAATAAAAAAGAGATAAAAAGCCTCCCCCAAAAAAATAGCAAAAAACCAGAGAAGTTCTTATAATTCCCAAAGAAAACAGGATTTAAGGGCTAGTTTTTAGGCTTTGTCTGCTAAATTTTGAACTTGCTGATTGATCTCAACCAAATCTGATAAAACAAAAATTGTCTCAAAGATTTAATTTTTGTGACTTTTATGTAGGTAGATGGCTAGATACAGGATACTGCCCCTGTCTTCCAGAATTATTTCAGAAAATCACCACAGACAAAACAAAAGGGCAGCTGAAGGCAGCGTCTTGAAGGTGCTATCAGATGGGGCTCATACCAAACCCACAGGCAAAATCTGTTGGTAATTGCATCTCAAGCACCAAAAAATCCCTCAGCATGAAACAGGATGGAGGGAAAGGAGAGGGGTGGCATCTAGGAGCACTAAAGAAAGCAGAGAAAAGGAGTGTTGGCATCTTTAGAATATAAAAGGAACAAAATAAATGATAAGGAAAAGGCAACACAAGAAGCAACTGAACAGGGAGGAATGGATAGGTCCAGCATTTGGGCAAGGCCAATAGGCCCTTGAGGGCAGTCAGCTACAGGGAAGAAGGGAGATAAACAAGTCCTACTTTCCTCCAGAGTCTAAACAGTAGCTGAGTGTGAGAAACTAGGAAATTCCTTGCATTACTGCTTTAGAAGTGGCCCAACTTGCTGAGTCACTGGGATTGCTCCCTGGAGCCATAGCTGAATATAAAAGTCATCAGGAGCCCAAATCCTGGAATACACACACATTGGTATTATCAGCCAAGCACAAGAGGGACAAGATTAACATAGGCATGATGATGACAGCTGCCAGATTTTCAGCCACCATGTCACAAAACACCTCTCTGGGCACTTCTTAAAAATCCAGCTGCCCAAGGACAGTCAGAGCATAACACCTCATGGAAAAAGTGACCTAAAGATAGATTTTGAAGTCAGCAATGGCATGCTCCAAGTTCAGGTCTGTGCAGCACATCTATATGTGTAATATACTGCAGAAATGCTGAATGATAGAGCATCAAATGAGAAGACTACAACATAATGCAGGGTGGATTTTAATACATGTCAGAAACAACATATAATTTCTCACTGGAAAAACACTGAAAATGCAGATCAAAAACAATGTACTCTGAATTTTTTCAGCCCACAAGCAGACATCTTCAAGTTCAACAGAGTTTGACTACTTTAAAACTGTGTTTGCAAGCATTTAAATAAACGCCTCCCTTGACTTGAAAACAACAAAAACATTAATGTGATGTGAATACCAGCTCTGTCTTTAAGTCTTCTACTGTACTTCTCTCTTTCTGCAGTTCTTGTCTCAGGTTTGTCACCTTCTGTTCTGCACCTTCCCGAAGGCTGATTTCTTCATCATACTTTGATTTAAGATCTAGTAAGAAAGAAGTTGAATAAATGATCCCTTTCACAAATTGCACAAGAAGAGAATCAGATCTCATGCTAATACACTTACCCACAATTTCAGTGGCCAGTTGTGCTGCTTTTTGCTCAAATAAGTCTTTCATTTGCTTAATGTTAAAATTTTCTACTTGGATCTCTTCTAGTTGCCGTTCTAATGATTCTATTTCCATAAAAAGAACAGTATTATTTTCTAGAAGAATTAGGACAATACAGTTCCTCATGCCCATAACTAACCATGAGAGGTGAATATGTAAACCAAAATCCCTAAACATCCAATCATCTTAGCAAAGTGAACAACTTTACTGAAGTTAAATATCTGCAAGCATGATGTCACTGTCACTAGCTGAGTACTCTGCAGGATTAAGTACATATTGCTTTTCACTGGTCACAAATAGCCCTGCAGATCACTGTGACATGATGTTAAACTCCAAGCCCTGAACTGTAATTAAAACCTTTAATCAATATCAGTCAGATAGTTTATGTACAAATAGGGAAAATTTTATTCTGTGAGAGCCTCATGGAGAAAAACGGACCAAAAATTATGGGTCATCAAAACAAACAAAAATTCACTGTTTTCTCTGCTAGCAATGAGCACAGAAAAACACTCCATAAGACCATCACTGAAAAATGCTAGAGTTGATATAGTATAGTGCTGTAGTAGTGCTCACTGAGTCAATATATGAAATTATTAAAGAAGCATTCCAGATGCCTCATGAGAACTGCTTTCAGATTCAGAACTCCTGTTTTGCTTCTAAAAATTTCAAACCCTGAGCCCTTGGAACATTTCCCCAGACCACTGCTTAACATAAATAGCTCTTAATAGATCTTACAATTAACTTTTTGCCAGTAATTGTAAGATTCCAGCTTTCTAGCTCTTTAATTTACCAAAAGTGCTAATTTACCTAAAAGCTAAACCAAACTAAATTCCAAAGCAGTGCAGAAATTATTATAATAAAATGTTAGCCACCTGTAGATGTAGCTGTTGTCAATCCATCAGATTTAGATTCCTTAAGAAAACAGAATAAATGCACCATTAGACAGTAGGAATAAAAACTACTACTTCCAAAGTTCATCCATTTTTTGGAAAAGACAGGGAAACAAGGACTTCTGTGCTCAAATACTGCACAGCAGTATAAAAATACCTGAATTCAAACACTTATATTTGGAAGACTGGAAAAGGCCAAGATGACTTTTCATTTCATATATCACTACACTATTAAGGTTTCCACTCATAAGGCTCCAGAAAGAATACCCTCCCCCTCCCCTTCCTCTATATAGAAATCTGTCCTAAAAACAGAGGTTACAGACATCAAGAACATCCTGAGAGGGAGCTTTGACAGAAAGCAATTTCTGAGGTTTGTAACTATCCCACATCTAAGCAGCTCATAGTAATAAAAAAAGCAAGCTTCCTTTAGGGCATAATACACCACAATTTGCCTTGCATTATTTTTTGAGCTCAGCTGGATACCTATGAAACACCACTGCTGTTTTCCAAAAGTTCTTTACAAGGACTCCATAGCCTTTTTTCATAAAAGATGAAACACCACATTCAATTTACTTTCTTTAATAAACAGAGTTCTGAATAAGCTCAACAGAAGTAAAAGTCTGAACTGAACTTGGAGTGAGTAGTATGGAAGAATCATTATCTATTCTGACTTTGTTCTTTACATTTCCATATATACATTTATATACACAGTTACATTGTGTAGAGATAACTAGCTTTGCTTGCAAGAACACGTCAATATTTAAATTACAGAACTAACTAAATCAGGCCACGTGCCTTACAAAAAAGGTTTTAATCTTCAATGTCAATGCTGACGATAAACCTGCTTCAAGTATTTTAAAGCAATTACTTGCTGCCGCTGCCCCTGCAATTTCTCTAATTCTTTCTTCAGCTCTTCTGAATACCATCTCTCCTCCTAAGGGGGAAAATGATAAAAAAAAAAAAAAAAAAAAAAAAAAAAAGAAGATGGGGAGAGAGACTATAAATTTGGTTGCTCAAGACAGTGGAACACTTCAATTTGAAACAAAGAACCAAGTGCAAGTAAAATACATTTCCAACCTTCAGTGAAGCTTGCAAGTCCTGGACTTCTTGTCGGAGCAGTGATACTTCATCTCTGAATAAATATATCCACAGAGTGGAGAAAATGAATACACGGTGGTTACATTTTGTCAATTACATACAAGTTGTAATGCATGTTAAGTAATCAGACTGATAGCCATGTACTACATAAATGTAACTTACATAATTATAAATATTTATTTTTAGAGGTTTTTTTAAACTTAGAACAAAGATTAATATCACTTTGCACATCTCCTGAAAAATGCTAAACATATTAAATGGATAAGTAAAGAAATAGATAAGAATAAAAAGTCTCATGAGAACAGAATGTAAATCTAAATCAGTGCATCAGCTCAACCACATGAGTTCAGAATGACAAAGCTATGCATTGGAACATTTAACAGGTTTGCATGCCTTTGTTAAAAAAAGGACAGGTTTCTTCTCCTTCACTTTCCATATCATGGACTACTGTTAAGCAACAGCATACTATCTTACTCCTGAAATATGCAGTTACATAATTTTTCATCCACACAGCAATTTGGTATGCCCCACAGACATATTCACTTAATGATCTGAATATTTAAAGCCTTAGAATTTTAAATTCTCAAATTTCATGCTCAAGCCTCCAGCCATACAAGAACACACAATCCAAGGCTATAACTATTAGTAATTGATTCACACAGAATCCTTCAAAATCACAGGTCTCCTTACAGAGTTGCACAACTATACACACAAGAATAATGTTGCATTACTGAGATACAGCCACTCCAAATCAAGAACACAAGGGTCATTAAAATAATGTAAAAATATTTTTTCTTACTGTTTGTACAGTGGCAACACTAAGGGTTACACAGAATATATATGTCAGGGTACCAGTGCCAAAAAATCCTCTCAGTTTTATACCATATAATTTTATTGCTGCTGGTGTGCATTATCCCCTCCTCCACAGATGTTCTTTGAAATTATCTCATACTTAGTAGAAAATAAACCACCAAAACAAGTTATTCCGTAGCTAAACTGGTGAGGAATAAATTCTGATGTTAAAACTGATGTTAATATGTTAATGTAGATTGAATTTATTCCTCACCAGTCAGGGTCAGAGTCATCAAGTAGCAAGTGAAACATGCATTTGAACCAGTGGAGCAAGAACTCCAAGGTGGACCAGTTTTAATGACAAAACAAACATGGGATATTGGGAGATTTGCTTTTTTCAGAGGAAAATTTTGTTATGTACACATTATTCTGCCTATGTGACGGATTTACTGGAGGTTTGCAAATACAACTTTACTGAGGCAGGTGTAGCTGCATTCCAAAACCTGGCTGTGGGTGGAGAAGAGGGAGCCACTTTCTCATCAGTACAAGCCAATGAGCTAAGACTCAGATCTAAGATTATAAATAAAAAAGCAGGTGGAACTGTCAGCTGTATTGAAGTTGGACTGAACATATACCACACCTGCAATACCAAAGCATTTAATATGCCCTGGTCTTCACAATACATCAAAGGGTTTGAGTTGTATAAAGCTAGTTTGTAGTAGAGATAAGGTAGAAGAGATAAGGGAGGAGAAAGGAATGAGTTTGCAATGTAAGGGGCCTTCTACAGTAGTTGCCTTGATATTCCCAATAAAATTTTGCTAAACCATTCTAAAATGAAACCTGAATTTAGTTTAACCAGTGGAAAGTACATGGTTGGAGGGGGTGGGGGGATGGTTTGAGCGGATTTAGTGTAAGTCATTGCTACAGGCACTGTAACTTTGCTTTTCTTCCCATCATCCAAATCCTCACCAAATCTCCTTTTCTGCTAGCACTGTGACAATCCTTCCTCCTCTCAGCACATCTGAGACTACCAACTGGAAAATCCTTAGTGCCTTTTCATTATGGTCCACTCAGTTTCCCACTTGTAACGCCAGGGCCTCCACCCTAGTATTGAGTTCTGATGGCCTTGCTGAATCACACTGGGGGATTTACATGATTTACTCTTGAAACTTATTCATCATCATTTACTGGGGAGTGGGAGGAAGAGAAAACTGTGCAATTCCCAGTACTTAACTTTTTCTATTGACTACATATGGAATTTCACCTCCCATTCTTGGTCCTAAGAATTGCACATAAGCTTCACACATGGAGAACAAGTGGGGTGGCTCCGTGCTGCAGGCTACAATATTTCTTTAATATGGAATTCCAAGGCATGGAAAAACATATTTATGTTGAATGAGAGTTTTCTCAAGGAAACAAGCAAATGAGTAGCATTAAAGAATGCCACACTAATAGGAAAATGTAGCTCATGTGTTACACAATGGCTCTCACCAGACTCCCTTTATTCCATCTAAACTCCCAGACCCCATCCACTTTTTCAATTATGTGAGAGAAAACAAAACTACTTGTCCTTAAACTGTCAGGAGCCAGGGAAAAATAACTAAATTTCACCAGCCAACATCTGGCTGACTTTGGAAATTTGCAGGCATAAAAATAAGAATTTCATAAACTATATAAACAATATAGTTATGACCAATAATTCTCCCACATGAATGCTATTATCCTACAAAACTATCACTTCAGGTCCAAGTTTAATTATTCCAAAAAGACTTAAATCAGGCATAAAAAGCATAGTCATTATTGAATAAATGTGCACATCAGAAGCCCAATATGACTTCATTAGTACCCTATCACTTTATCCTGTATAAAGCCTCAATTTTGATGCAGCAACTGAGAGAAAAGGCAGCTATCCATGAGGAAAGAGTCATCCAAGACCTCTGCTAATGCTGGCTCCTACTGGCTTGCCAGCTTTGCTCAGTACTGGCTTGCCAGCTTTGGTCAGATCAAATACAGATATGCATTTGGATAACAACTGAAACATGTTATCTTCCACACTCTTTTTTCACCAAAGAGTCAGCCTCTCTTGAGTTAGTTACACAAATATATGTATTTCTTTCAATGTAATTATTTGTCATTTTGTCCTATATTTCTGCTTGTGAGAAAACATTTGAACTGTTTACTCCCCAGGATCAGCAGAAGCCACAGGGTCATGTTCTATGTACCTCCATGCTGCTCGCTCTGAATCTCCTGTGTACAAACCAGGGGAATGTGACAAAACAGCAGCATGGACTGCTCTTTACAGCAGCACAAAACAAGCACTGAACAGAAAAGGAATTAGCAGGAAGCAAGGGGAAACCCATAAAAATGTTACGCCCAAGAAAAACCTTCCCAAAGCAACTGAGACTACTCAGTTAATATTTCTAGATAAAGTTTCACATTATCAATTCCTGCTACATACCACTGCTCTCAGAAAAGAAACAACCTGATATTCTTCCTAGGGATGCATTTAATAATACAGTTTGGACCAAAAAAAATTCAATAAACTAGTTAAGATTTCTGAAAATCAGCATGGATTTTCTGAAACACAGAAGGAGACTTACTGGCACACAAAGAAACTTCTCAGATTTGCAAATAACTAGGTAATTAGGGAAGCTATTCAGGCAAATACTGATATTGTAATTCCCCAGTAAATACCCTAATTAACTAGGGACAAAATTGGGTTTCTTCCCTATCTTTAGGGTTGTCCTCTCCACTCTCCCATGATGATATTTCAGCTCTGTGTTAAAATTAGGAGAAACCCATATTTTTTTCTGCCACACTTGTAAAAATCATTCTGGTCTATAATGCTGAATTGTATGCAGAATCAGAAACAGGTGGCTTAATACCATAAACATATGTATCTGATTTTCACCTACTGTCAGATCAGTATCAGACAACGTAAGCTACAAGATGCCTTTTAATTCTAGTTGGGAATGGGACATGAACATTTAAACACTTGACTGCATAAATTCAAATTAATAAAACCTTCAGTGTAACTAGAAGCAGCTCAACACCAGCACAAAGGCACAAATGCACAAATGAGTACTGTTTCACCTTTCTGGTGACAGATGACCTTCCCCTCTGTGACTTGAATCAATGCCAGAATTATGAACTGCTTCATAGTGCTTGAACAGCTCCTCTGCTGATCCATGAGACTTCATACAGAGAGGACAAATAAAGCCCTATTACAAAAAGGAAAAACAAACAAAAAAAAAATGAAATACATTTCTTTTCCTTCTTATTTTTATATAGAACCATAAATTTTGTTTGCGCATTTAAGTAGTAAAAGCAATTTCAAAGATTCATATTAATTCTTTCATGCTGTAATAAGAGTTTTTGTAATTAAAATGTTAGAAAATGCCTGCAAAAGGCACATTCCATTATTCAGTGAGTTTTTCCCCCAACAGTATTACATACCAGCAACAAAATTTTACTTAGCAAAACAAAAAAGACTGTTCTGCAATTCCTTCCCCCTCCTCCAACAAAGCAATTTTCCACACAACTTTTCATAAAATCACATTCTTATTCCAAATAGAAGGTAGCATCTGGAGTTTGGTCTTTAAAAAGGAGATATAACTATCCACTCTAAAGCACAGTTATTAATAAACCAACTATCTACATATTGAAACTACTGATTTTAATATGGGCCAGACAACTAAGAATCACTTTTTACCTTTCATATAATTAATTGGTAAATGCCATTCAAATAAATACCACATCAAAAAAATCGTATCTCTACAGCCTTAAGAATCATAAATCCTCAAATTTCTTTCCAGCATACATACAAGCTTACCAGAGTGGAAATTTAGCAGATCAATGCCGTCATTCTACCCATTAGCCCACAAATGCAAACAGTGTTATGTTCCTCTTTATGCATCTCTAAACATTCATGGAGTGTTCAAGCTGCCACTTACCAGAAGTACCATCCACCAAATTTTTCTCCATTTATTACATCAGGTGTTGAGTGCTGGACTACACACTGACTCCTCACTCATGTGGTTATCATGCCAACTCTGAGCCCAGTTCCCATCCACACTTCAGCCCATAACAGCAGTGACACTGAGACATTCCCAGAGTAAGAGCTAAAAACCTCGTCTCACATTAAAGACTCCCTGTAATTCCAAGCAGTGCAAAAGGGACCTCATGTAAGTGGGATGCCTGTCTTTAACTGTTTTAAGGCCCCCTGTCCCTTTAACTCATTTCAAATATGTATTTTTACATTTATATGTTATCCTTAAGTTTCTTATGCCGCTACAAACTGTAGTGTACGCCAACATTAAACCAAGGCTCTCCAGCATCCAAGATGAGAGTACTCCTCTAAATGGGATTATCACACTTCACTTAGCACAGTGAACTCCATGAGTTATGGAGTACACATGAAGACTTTTGGCACTCTTCTGCTCTTAAATTTGTACCTGGATGCTAACAGATTTAAATATTAGGACAAAGTGAACATAATGAATGCATATGTTGACAACCACAAACAGCACTCATTTATTAATTTGGCATTCATAGTATTTTGTTTCACAAGTCACTAGGAATTCAACAACATTTACATCGTTTTAACCTATGTAAAACTACCATGTTCAGCTACTCAAATGTAACCCCAGTTCTAAACAGAGACTTCATTACCCCAGTTCTAAACAGAGCCTTCATAACTTCTACTATTTATTTGTGCTTCAGAAATTAATTACTAAATACAATTGCTTGTCAGGTCCACCACATATCATATGGAAAACTAGTTTTGTCACAACTAGACCAAACAAAACAGAGTACTCTTTCCTAAGCAGGAAACAGGCATCAAACCTTAAGAACCATTTATTTATTTGCAGAGTTAATCAGCACAGTTTCACTCTAGATTAAACCAAGTAAACTAATATATAAGTATAGGTACAGAATTTGTTCAGCTACTATGTTCCCAGTAATGTTTATCTGATACAATTAGCATAGGATGCCAGTGAGAGTCACTCTGAGTGCAAGAACCAGAGGGATTTGCTTGGCACACAGCCAACCCTCTGTGGTTACAGGGGGTCCCAAAATATAGGATTGGGTTTTCTCCTGGTAAGCTTTATACAGAAAGAAGTCAATTTCATACAATGACAGTGCAACGACAGCACAACATCATCCTTTCAGGATGAAACTCTACTAAGCAGTTCTCAGTGTTGTGTTTAGTTTCCCAGTGATGGGAAGGTCTGCTGTTCATAGAGAAAAGCATGTGTTCCTCACAGTTCCAGTAAGTGCATCTAGAAAGAATGAGTGCAGAAAATTGCTCTGGCCTCTCCTTCCTTTTGCCCTTTATCTCTTTTCATTTAAACAGCAAAATCTGGTTTTTTTGCTTGGGTTTCTTTTTTGTGGTTTTATTGTGCTTGGGGTTTATTCTATGCAAATAGGAGCCCTAGAGAAGAGGAAAGAATAGATTACATGTGCAATTAGCCCAGGGGGACAGCAATCGTTCATCTCAATTATTGGGCAAAGCCAGCCAAGATTTCCAGGCAGGCAGAGAGGCAGATTTGAAGGCGAGGTCCACAAGGACAAGCAGCCAGAGGCAGAGCAGAGCTGCTGAGCAAAAGGAATGTGCTGCAGTTGTGAGCCTGCAGGGTGGATGGGAGCTCTGGGGAGACAGGCATACTGTCACTGCCAGATGGGAAACATGGACAAAACCTCCTCCTCTTCTTTTTAGAAACTGCCTTCCTCCCATACAAGCAGAGATAAAGCAAGCATCACCCACCAGCCACAGGCTCTCCACCAGCACTGTCATGATTGTGGCTGGCCTCAGTTTTGGGGGACACTTGGAGTCAGCTCTCACATGCAGCCTTATGCTAATGCAGCTTTTGCTGGAGGTCTGACACACAGGCTCTAACACAGTGAGCCATCACCCTTCAGCAACAAGGTGCCCTTGCCATGGAAAATGTCATCTTTCCTGTACAGAGGTGGACAGGAACACCAGCTCCTAAAAACACAGGCAACTAGCACTCATACATCACAGCCTGAAACTGCACAAACCCAGGAATCAGCTGCACCTCACAGACTGATAATATCCAATGTCAACTCTGATGTCAGCAGCACCAATTCAGTTGCCTTTACAGTAGGAAAATCAGAATCATCAGGATCCTTCAGGCAGCAGTCAGTAACAGGTAGAAGCATTTAAGTTTCCTGGATCTGTAACTATCAGCCCCAGTGACAATCTTGTTTGGGAAACTGGGTTGGTGGATCACTAACTTTATCTCTTAAAAAAAATTAAAATTAAATACAGCCAAATTAAAACATCTCTCAGTATCATCTTGAGATGAACTCTAAATATGTTCAAAAGTGTATTTTATTATTCTAAAGACAATCATGTAAGAAGAAGGGAAGAAATCTGATAGTCTGAGATGCTTAAATTCAGTAAACATTTCTGTCAGCTTGCAGGAATTTACATCAGGTCCAACATATTCCTACATCAGGACCACAGCTGTCTTGGATAAAGAGGAGATGGAGCAGCTACAACCAAGAGGTGTCATCAGAGCCTAGGGGAGGAGCTGAGGCATCCTTGCCAGTAAGCCTGCACCTGGATGGATACCTTAACTAACAGACTCCTTTACAGAAGAAGCAAGTTGAAAGTATCTTGAATTTTGGTTTCCTTTTAACATGTACTTAGGGATTACTTTGCATAAAGCACAGCCACAGAGAAGCAAAAGGTATTTCATTTTTCATTTAATAAAAGCAAAGACACCACTTACAGCCCCTTCAGTGCTGCACTGTAACTCATGATTCCCTAGCTGAAGTTTCTGGTTGGGTTTATCTTTCACTTTACACAGAAAGAAAAGAGCCTAAAAGAAGTTAAATGATGATTACTTGGGTTTGTTTTTATATCTTCTCACCAAGAATATTGAATTCAAGGACTTTTGCAGCTGCCTGACAGTTTCACAGAAAACAAAACATAATCCACAACTACATGCACTAGTTTTTATCAGCAAGAAGTTATTGAGATCACCACAGAATTTCTGAAGCCATGCACAGAAAGAACAATTTTTTTAAAAAGGCATTCAAACCAAACTCCAATATACATGTACAAACAAACAACTAGGAGACAGCACACAATTTACAGCTCAAAACAGACCCTGACCCAATAGTCCAGGCATTCCAATGAGAATGAGTGAGATGCTAAACTTCAAATCCCAATTTTCTGGTCCCACAGGAAACATTCTTCTTTCAGGAGGCCCATGGGCCATGCCAAGCATCAAGCACCACCAGAGTACCATGCTGTTTGTAGTGGGACAGGCCTTCCTCAGTGCAAAGACTCCAAAACACATGGGTTTCACTCAGAGCAGAACAGAAACTGCTACATAGATGTTTTGTAGGAAAGCATCTTGCCTCAGCTTGAGTTATAATGCCAAATTTCACTAAAGATCTCAGGCTCCATGAAAGCACCAGAAGATTTTTTTTACCTACCTTTCTCAAGGTAGACTTACAAATAAGCCCAAAGAACAAAAAACTACTTATCTCCTCTAATAGTTGAGATTTATTTTCAAGCTTGATAATGTTAAGCTTCTCAGTGCTCTATCTCCTTAAAGCCATTCAAGGTAAATTATTTCTTTCTGGTAACATTAATATTTGTATGAATCATTAAGATAGCATTCTTTGGGAAGTATGCCAGGATACTAAAAGCAACACTAGAAGGAAAATGTCACTACAAAAACTAGCGTGGGATTTGGGGTTTTTTTGTACTAAAATAATTTACAGAGCTATTAACTATTGGAAGAACTTTGACCTACAACATTGAAACACAGTGCCCAGCAAAAGCAGGGCACAGACCCACAGGAAGACAAGTGGATAACCAGACCAACTGCAGGCTACCATAGAGTCCTCCTAATCCTCACATAAACTATTCCCAGTTTAAAATCATGTAACAGGAAAATGAATGTGTAGGACTGAAAGGTTCCTGGGTTTCTGTCTTCTTATATTGCTCTGTAGAACTAGGGGTGATGGGGTTGGCTGTGTAAAGAAGTATTTCAAAAATGTCAGCTTTTTCAGAATATTGTCTTACTTTTAATGATTTTTTTTCATTAGCTGAAGGCTCCCAACTGAGGTTTAAAAAACCCCAGCATTTACATGTAGTTGTCCACTCCCCAATCACTACCAATGCAGAGCTATTCAACACAGTTAATGGAGCAAGAAAGCAGTCACCTGACTGAACAGATGT